TTATAGATCTATTTCTGTTACAAAGTATAAGGCAGCCGAAACCAATCAGCAACAGCGGTAGAATCAACATCCTTCTCAACAACATCAACAACAACTGTAAAAACAACAGCAGTACAAACAACAACAATTCAAAAAGAGGACAATTTTTTTGTTATTGAAAAACATTTTTTAAATTAAACGTCGTGTTTGCAAGCGCGGGGCCCCCTGAGGCGCGGGGCCCTAGGCTACAGTTACAGCCTAAACAGCCTTACGGGTAACGCGGCCCTGCCTGTGTCAATGTGTTGCTGTTTTAACTGTTTACCATCACTCTTAACTACCCAGAGCCAGTATAATTTGTAACCAGGACCTTAAGTGTCAGTCCCCGTTTTGCGACCTAATCATGAAAAATCAAGGAACAAAGCCAGCATATCCTACACGTTGTACTTTTACTGTACTGGCGTTTGTAGAGATTTCTCCTCCAACGACAGAGGTGGTCCCGAGAAGGAAAAGGCAAACAAAATAAAACAAACGAAAACATTTATAAAGGTGGGTAGAAATAAAATATTAAAAAAATTTAAAAAAAAAGGAAACAGTTCGCATATGTCTAAAAAATTGGAACAAGAAAAAAAAATGTTCCCATGCCGGGAATCGAACCCGGGCCGCCTGGGTGAAAGCCAGGAATCCTAACCACTAGACCACATGGGAGACACATCTAAAGAATGCTAAGTCTCTTTATATACGTTTAATATTACATATTAGGCGAAGTGCACGTGAAAAGTTGTTTTTCTTTTTGAAATTAGTTTAGTATTTACGGCACTTTATATTCTGTAGTATTCAGACAAAGACTGTATGCCTATCACGTATCGGTCTGCATTACCAGAGTTTTGTTTAAAAAAAAGTAGCCTACTTTATGTCATCTTGCTTCCCATTTATTTCCGGGTCAAACTCTGACCTCCTTATAATGGCTGCCGTGTTTGGATCGGCGAAGTAATGCATGTTAGGCTATTTGGACTTTGAAGTCTAGCGAGTACATTTGTAAAGGTAACTATCTGGGTACTAAGTGTTTGATTGGCTGATTGCAGCCTAATGGGCCCAGTAACTATGTAGTATCTTGCAGCAAAGAGATAGTTTCCTGTCACTGCTAGCTAACTTACTGAGCCAACTGTTGTAGTTGTATTGCCAGAGATGGCAGACAGTGTCTATAGTATAGTAGTACAGTAGTCTCCGCCTAAGATCCCACCGCTTAAGATCCCGCTGTTTTAAGAAAACAGAATTTTTATTATACAAAAGTCACCCCTAAGATCCCGATCTGATTGACTCTGAAGGTCTACATACGACTAAGATCCCGCATTTCAGATCATAATTTGCGGAACAAAAACCCGGGCGGGCACAGGCACAGCCGATCAAACAAGAGTGCAAAGTCTGAGATCAACAAACTGTCCGTCATGTCAAAGAACATCCACTATCGTGAATATGATCACATACACATTGTAAAACTCGATGAAGCGATACAATGTTTGCCCCTGATGGGATCACACAGGGGTGTGAACTGACCGACACGTTTGTTTTCCCCACGCATCACACTCACACCTGAGCTCTCCCCCTAAACTTACATCACTCGCTGGGTGGGTAGGGCCTACACGTTCGCTCCTGGCGAGATCACATTGAACTGTGAACTCTTCCCCGACCATTGCAGAAGTTGTCTCTACTCCCGAATTTGCGAGAGAGACTGAATTTTTATTGGTGGGGTCACAACGTAATGGTGTGTAAAGACCAAAGCGGTGTGGGGGGGGGGAGGGGGACTCGGTCAGAGATAGAAAGCTATTTATTTTCGACAGGTAAAGAGGAGGGGCAACTGGATAAGCGTAGATCTTGAGACTCATGACAGGATAATAAGTGAAAATGGCACGCCTCATGCCACTATGCACTGTGATAGGTCATCGAGGTTAACCACTTTTTGCTCGCCATGTGTCATAAACCCACCCAGGAGTCACGTCAGTTCATTTTAGAGTGGAGGGAGACCATTTTACCCATTATGGGCCTTAACATGGGTCACCATAGATTCTTCCCTGGGTTCGTCGGTTAACCCTTAAGATTCTGGTTCCTGATAAATGTTTGCCCGATAAGCGCGATCCCGCGCGGCGCTCCACAGCTGGTCCCTGATCAGTCGTCGTCCCGCGCGGGCAACGCATTTCATTTACGGCAGGGTCTGCATCTGTGTGCTAAAATGTGTGTGCGTCAATCTGCTTCAAGTGTCTGAGTGGCCATCTGAAACTTACTGCATTGTTTTGCAACGCGAGGCGTTGGTAGAGATAATAGAGCGTCGGTTGAGACATTCATCCAATGAAATATGAGCATTTTGACCCAGTTAGACACTTGAGGGACTCGAAAGGATATTCAGGAAATAGGACTTTCATCTTTCAATGCAAACACCTTTCCTCACTTTTCAAACGATCTAATTCTTACACTAAACGTTGTTTCCTGATGTAAATAATCATATTTGGTGGTTTTTGAACCATTGTCCTACGAGAGGGAGACATTTGAGAGCAACTGAATAAAAAAAATATTAGGAAATTATCCCATTTTTTCCCCCTTTCGAACGATAGCTGATAAACAGCTGTTCGCAAGTTCATTCATAATAGGTGTGAAATCTGGAAAACTCTGGAAAAGTTATTCGATTTGGTGTAACTTCCAATCTCAGCGTCTCTGATCTACCGACGAGGGGATAATGGGATTATTCGTGTGATCGTAACACTTATTCATTGATCGTATCAGTTTGCTTTAAAAGATGAGGTGTTTCCCTGACCTGCCGCGGCACGCTCGCGTGACCAGTGCCTGACCCCGGCACCCCGCGGCACAAGCCCGCAGGCGACGTAAGTGGGTCATCGATCGATAAGAGCCCTCTTCCGGTTAACCCCGCAGGACTAGAGTTAAGATCCCGGTTTGCCTAAGATCCCGCTTTTCCTTGCTCCCGTGCACCGGGATCTTAGGCGGAGACTACTGTAGTCTATAAATTATGATATACTGAGTTACTGAGACTGTAGTAAGTTCAAGGCTATTGTCATGTAATTTTAGACTTGTGAGGTCTTAAGCTCATCAAGTCAAGCTCCAACCCCTTGCCACTGGAGCTGTCTGTGCCGTAGGATTTATTGTGCTTATTTATTTATAAGTATAACGGACCCCGGGGGTGCCAACAATCTGGTCATTATTTGGACCCCCCCTCCCCCTTCGGTGCTTTTTTGGTAGTTCCCACTCCCCCTTATTTGAGCCTGACCTACATCGAGATCTATACGTTTGATGCGAGCTAAGATATCAAACTTAACAACTGCAAAACATCAAATTATGGTAAAATTCAGGGGGGTATGTCCCCCCCCGAAACCCCCCTCTCTTAAGGCCAAAACTGGCGAATAACGATTGCGGGGTGGGAACTATCGAAAAAGCGCCCCCCCCCCCCCCTTCTGTATTTAGACCCCCGCTGTCCGGGTTCCGGTTGGAGCCTGTATCAGTCCTGCCATCATAGCTGAGCGCACTCGCGTGTGATGACCAAGTGTACGTCAGTCTGCTTGAGTTTGTGGCCTACTTGTAGAACCACCTGTGGTGGTTTATATTATAATGGAGGCGTGAGTCTCATTGGAAACATGCCAAGTTGGTAGCTCTAGGCTTAGATCTTCATCCAATGAAATTATAGCAAATTGACCCACTGAGAATGAGGAGCTCAGAGTTATAAGTCTGGCATCTCGGCACAGACGCAGAACAGGAGTTAGTTCAGGTTCTGTGTGTTTACTATTTTTTAGGTCTAGATTTAGTTTGTTTTGTCTGCTGAACACAAATTTGACTCCATTTGTTTGTCAAATCATAGCCTACAAACTACATTCAGGGTGCCGTGAACGTAGCCTGCAAACTAAATCTAAATCTATGTTCATGGTACCGTGAACATAGTCACTGTGTTTTTCAAACACACTAAATCCAACTCACCAATAAGTTTTATGCCTCTTCACCCCGGGTGACAATAAATAAATGCATATTAATACTTGTTCCCGGGGGTCTGAATAATGACCAGATTATTGGCACCCCGGGGGTCCGAATAATGGCAGCCTTTTTATATATGAAAACCGATGAATAAATGTTAATCTATGACAATGTCTCTAATCTACTAATAAAGACCACCTTCTTACAGTCAGCATTCCCGTTTTTTACAGCCATTTTTCTAAGCTCCAGTGTTGAGCTCTTTTATATGTACTCTGAACTCATAAAACATGCAGGTCTTGCCTTGAAGAGTTTTCATCATTTTATTTTATAAACATTTCTTTATTTACAGATTGGATTGGCAGATTTCCCTTTTTTTAAAAACAGTATTAACAGCGCACCTGAGGGAGAGTCACCATGTCACTCTATGACGATTTAGACCCAAAGGAAGAATTGGGCAGTGGGAAAATTACAAAGTCATCAGTTGTCCGTAAGTTGAGTTGAAGCAGATGCTTCTGTGTTATTACAAAATTGGTTGCCTTAAAAAAACCGACCTTCTTGATAATAAATTCACATAATCTGTCCTTAATTTCAATGGCTTTCTGCAAAAAATAAAAATAAAAGGGCTTTGTTGATTCTTGCTATGTCATGTAGGATTACTGAACAGAAGAAAATTGAGCAAATTGTCCTGTCATGAATATTTTCTGATCAATGTCATGTTCGGAGAACTGGAGCTTGTTGATGTATCCACAGAGGTCTTCAGTAGACTCAATGCTTTTTCTTCTCTACCATTTTTTGCTTGTCTGTTTTGGATTAACCACTTTTTCTTGTCTGTTTCAGCCGGATGGTCTCCAGGCTACAAACTGCTGGCCTCGACGTTACAGGCAAAGAAAGCTTCAATCCTTCAGCCTAAGGTACTGACAGGCATAAGATTTTTGGCATATATCATGGATCGTTCGGGAACAGTTACGGTCTGAAGTTTTTTAAAGCGTATTTTTCTTTCATAGAGGATTGATATATTTTTTAATGGGTAGATAATCTGGATCTATGTTGTTTGCCTGTCCTGTGAGGTTCTGGTGTGAGTTAATTTGTTATTTTGTCTTTGTCGGTCAGTTCCTTGTCTAAGTAGCTGGCGTTGAGTGTGTTGGGCCATTCCGTGAGAAATGAAACTCCAGTGCCATATGGAATGGGGAGATGATGATGTTCTGAAAAAAAAAATTAGCAATGATAAAGCCATTCTTTATTCATTATTTTTGTTGTTGGAGGTAACCTTCCTCAAGCAACACCCCTCATCCCCCACACCCCCCAATTTTATTTTTTTTTATGAAAAAAAAAGAAAAAATGGTTCCCTCTGTGTTTAGAATTTTTTCAATATGTCATCTTGGAGTTCCATGTGCCACTGCAATTTTTCCAATGAATAGCCATACAAAGTAGATAAACTTGTAACAGAACGGTAACTAATTTTTCCTTTTCTTCTGTTATGTGTTGCTTGCAATGTGAAAATTGCTATTTTTATTGCCACAAATTCTGGCAGGACATGTCAGCAATAGGTTTCTCAGTTCCTCCCACTGCTCACACTCCCCGTGTTTTGTGTCTGTTGTTCCCCAGCGTCAGCGGGCCAGTCAGCTAGCTCCGGTCGTTGACCTCAAGCGTCATGTGGATGTGGACGCACCCCTACAGTTTAACATGCAAACTGGCAAGGTATGTGGTCAGGGAAAGCTTCGTATAGTTTGTTGTGGAACAAAGGTAATACATCATGTAGTTTGCTCAAGATTTACGGGGGAAGTTTTATTTTTTCAAACTGGGACAATGACAAACAGTCATATGTTTCGGTTCTTCTCAAAGTAGATTTTAATTCGAATTGCTATCTGTTTCTCTGTAATGTTAGCAAGATAATTCTTTCAATAAATTATGTCTGTCGCTATATATTTTCTGCAGGGAATGTTCTCCCCGTTTTTGATTCTGTCTTTAAATTTGCATTTTCCTTTTAAAAACTCAAAAAATTTGCATTTTCCTTTTAAAAACTCTAAAAATTTGCATTTTTTAGAGGCTCAGGAATTTGGGTTTGAAAAATTGTTCCACAGTTGCATGCAGAAAATGTGAGTTCGATTCTTGTGAGTAAATTATTTTTGGTGTGAAATATCTGCGGTGTCATCTGGGACATTGTAACCCTCTCTGCCCAGGTTGGCCCAAATAGTCAAGGTAGAATCAGCCCTTCTCTTATATATGATCCAAATTGTGTCGGTAAGAAGGGGCATCACTATTGGAACTATGTTCTTTGCATTATTATAAGATAAGATAAGATAATACTTTATTATGAAGTGCATTGAGCTTTTTCTTAGTGGAAATGCGTTATGTAGATTTTGTGTAATTTATTACTATTATTGTGAACTGTCCCCAGCTGGAAAAGGTGAACCCTCCGGTGATCCAGCCCCAGGCCTCCATCGCTGTGGCGCCTGTCACGCCCTCCGCTCCCTCCCCCTTCACAATGTCGGAGCCCACCCCGTCCATCACAGGGGTCGCGGACGAGTACGACCCATTCCGCCCCAACGAGTACGACGAGGTGGTGAAGAAGATGAAGGAGGAGAAGGAGCGAGAGAGGGAGAAGGACAGGAGGAGGGACGACAGACGAGACAGAGATAGGGGCAGAGACGATCGGCGGGATGATAGGAGGGACGACCGGGACAACAGGTAGGAAATTTGTCTAAGTTTTTGTAAGAGTTTTACGGCTCTTGCAACTCTACTAGGTCATGTAATTTATACAGATTATGATTAGAGGTGTTAGAGAGAGTAACATACAAAGAAAAGGAGGAGAGATAAGGACTATAGATGTTTGACAGGAAAGAAGTAGCAATCCTCTCAGAGCACCCACCAACTGTCCATAGAGATTTTGGACTGTGTAGGGAATTTATGCTGTAAAAATAATAGACGGTGGGGGGGGGGGGGGGGGGGGGGTGCTGTATGAGAACAATTCTTCAATTCTTAGTGACTGCCAAGAAGCCACCAAATGAAAACTCATATAAAAAGGTAGGCCCTATGCGTATTTCGTAGAAGTACACTAATGTGTATGTACCGTACGAGTATGTCATTTATTGAAATTTTTAGAAAATTAAAGAACAGAACCATGACTTGGGCACTCGTTATTTTTCCTTAAAAAACAAGGAAGGAAAGAAATATCGAAAATGAACCAGTTTGAATGACAGCTTTTTTTGGAAACCGACAGAATTGATTTTGGGCGATAGTGAAATGACGCTGACCATGTTTTGAGAGAGATTAGTGTGGGGAGTCACAGGAGGACCAGGGGTTTCTGAGAGAATGCGGCAGATTGTTTTGTCTGGCTTTGAGGGGTACCTGTGGCAGACCTCCTGCTATTTGTGAACATTTGAAAATTTTAATTTTTTTGTAACTACCTGTTCACACTCTGGGTTTATTTAGTTAACTAGTAAGTGGCCTTTTTTATGCCACTGAGGGATGATGGGAACAGCATTTATGTCTGTCTTGAACGTTGTGAGCGATAGTTCTGTTCTTTTCTCCTCTGTCTCAGGAGACGAGATAGAGACAGAAACGATGGCGAGGAATCCGAGATGGAAAGGATGAGGAAGAGAAGAGCCGAAGAGGGAGAGGAGGAAGAAATCGACAGATCGAAAAGTGAGTTTTCCTTATTATATAAGCCCTATATTAGATAAGATTTTATTCAATTTGATCTAAAAGAAAATTGTCTTCAGTTTTGCATTTTTTTTTCCTCATACACTTTTAGTTCTGTCTATCGCACAAGTGGGTCAAAATTGTAGTTTTGACTTTACATGGATAATGGAGAGAGCTTAATGCTACTGTTGTATACGCTTGTAAACTGACTTGGGGCTAATGTAATAATTTTTGTCTGTTTTTTTGTCTATTCTACTTCAGAAAGCGGTGGAGCGGCCATTGCACCCCCTACGGCTTTGCTGGAAGAGGCGCCAGTGAATCCTGGTGAGTGGTCATCGTTTTTTTTTTTGGCGGGGGGGTATTTTTTTTAGTTCTGGATTTGTTTGTGTGCTCCAGGAGAAACAACCTTCAGTAGTTTCTTTCATTCAACAGTGTTGATTTCCGGGATATATCCAGAAATCTGGAATTTTTATTTGTTTATTTTACGTGTGTCTTGTTTTCTTGTCTGTAGTGATATATTTTTGTCATCTCTTTGTGGACATAATTTTTTTCCTCAGTTGAATTTGGATGTAATTTATTTGTAACCCTGCCAAGCAGTTTGAGGATGTGAAAATGAAATGAAATAAGATGGTCCACAAACCATTCTCTTACACTTTCAATGTCACTGGTGTCTCATAAGCAACCGAATAGAAATAACAGAACAAGCAACCTTGTTCAAATTGCCGATATGTTGGCGATGGGTCCAAATGTGTTCCCAGGAAGTTACCAGTATGCAGGTGATATTTCCGTGAAGAGATAATATTTTAATCTCTTTGTGCATGTCACTTTACACTTTGTATGAAAACGTCTTGATACGAGATGTAGTAGACAAAATAGACAATAGAATCAGTAAATTTTGACTCCCCGCTCATGTTTCCACTGGGTCTGAACAGTCGAGTATTTTAGTGTCCAATTAATTTCAATAGAAGGATAATTAATTTATAATTTCCATAGATATATGAAGTTTTGCCCATTGCGCTAAGTGGTCACATCTTCTGTCTCTTTTCTCACCTTTAACGATCCCACCTGAGAGATGCGATACCTTTTTCCTTTTATTTTTCCACAGATGAAAGAGCAAAATCCCCCCCAAATATGGGCATGGCCATGATGTAAGTTGATGTCTTTTTTACACAGATATAAAGTCTGATAGAGTATATACTTTCTAAAGAACACGAAGAAGGAATTTACTATTTTGTTCTTCATGACAAGGAAATTTGTTTTTCCCTCACAAGAGTGTACCCATCTCCTTTTGAGTCATGCCATGAGGTGGTTACAGCAGCATTTCTCTCATGTTGTTGTATAATACTGGACGAGAAATATGGAACAGATAATAATGTGGCGAACTTGCAATTTGAAATGATCTTTACAGTGAGGAGTTACATTAATTTGTTATCATCTTACTTTTTTGTTTGTTGCTACTATCAAAGATATTAAATAACAAGATGGGCCACTCAGCCAAAAAGTGTCCGCAGGAAGTATGCTCTTTGCTTCAGATGGCGCTGCAGTCTGTTTTGAAGCTCTCTTTCGTTTTTCCAGAAGAAGAATAGGAATAGCACCTCCTTGCGTGCGCAGATCGGCTGCTGTTCATCAGCAGTTCGGGTTCGTTCAGTACGGAGTTTTAGTTTTTAAAAATTTTAATGACCTCTCGCCTTTCATTCTAAAGTCAAATTAAACGAAGAAAACAATCACCCTTTCCTCCGGAAGAGGGTTTTTGTCAGCGTAACCATTTAAAAAAAGCGTTCTTCGGAAATTCATTCAAAAACTTGCTAGTTTCACTCTGATGTTTTAAACTCAAGTAGGATAACTCTGTTCGCTAAAGGTGCGCTTTTGCGAAGAGGGCACCACCGAATTTTGAGGACACTTTTTTAATTGGCTCAAAGAGAGAAGTAGCCCCTCTTGTTATGTAGACTCTTTGCTACTATTTAAAGTAATTTAGATGTTCGATTAGTAGATGTTATCTTGTGCCTGTGTGTATGTTCAGCTCCCACTTTGGTGGGGGGGAAATATTGGTCGATTTGACAGAATTTCTCTCCTCCTCCTTTTCTTCGTATGCTCCCCTCTTGTAACATCTTTAAACTGCGGCACTTATATTATGACCTATGTGTTGCAACAACTACGAGTGCTCTAGAACTCCAGAAAGCTAAAACTCCTCCTTTTCTTTGTATGTTATTCTCCAGTGACACCTCTAATCTTTGGCACTTATACGACCTGTTTTTGTTGTTAGTGCCGTAAAACTAAACTTACTTATCTCTCTTCCTTCTTTTTTTTCTTTGTATGCAACTCTCTAGTAACACTTCTAAACTTGGGCACTTATATGACCTGTGTATGTTGCAAATCTCACTATAGTTTAACAAATTTTTAAAAACTAAAACTCTCACTAAAATTTAACAAAAAATTTAACTAAATCTCTCATTAAAATTTAACAAAAAATTTAACTAAATCTCTCATTAAAATTTAACTAAAACTTTCTTTCACTAAATCTCTCATTAAAATTTAACTAAAACTTTCTTTCACAAAAAATCTCACTAAAATTTAACTAAAACTTTCAATAAAATTTAACTAAAACTTTTACTAATACTCTCACTAAAATTTAACTAAGACTTTCACTAAAACTCTTATTAAATTTAACTAAAAATTTTACTAAAACTTAAACAAAAACTCTTCCTAAAACCTTTACAAAAAACTCCCTCCAACTCCCTCCTGTGTTGTTCCTCAGGGGCTCGGTGGCCTCCAAGATCATGGCCAAGTACGGCTACAAGGAGGGCCAGGGTCTGGGCAAGTCGGAGCAGGGTATGAGCACAGCGCTCTACGTGGAGAAAACCAGCAAGAGAGGGGGCAAGATCATCCACGAGAAAGACATTCCCAAAGGCAAGTCTTTAAGTGTCATGTGACACGCGCAGTGTCACTTTTTTGGTTTTTTTTTGTGGATGGGTGTTCTTGCGAATTTCCTGAAATCAGGATTGTTTTCACAAAATATCAATGGTGAGCGAGATAATTTCATAAAAGTGGGATACCTGTCTTTTGAATGTAGGGATACCATTTTTTCCCTGATTATTTCTGTTATTTTCCTTGGAAGAACACTCATTACAGCAGGGCCCCTTACCTGTGAGAAATGAGAGCAGTGGTGAATGGGGTCATGGCAGATGAAGTTTTGTTCAGACTTCACTCGGTTAAAAAATTTTTTGTTGGCTTGGCGTGTAATATTTCATAATGTGGTATCCACATGCTGTGGTGAACGGATAGACTGGCACTACTGTCTCACAAACTCTCTGTCCAGGCTGGATACATCCAGTGCTTCCTCAAATAGTGGATAACAATGTTGCAACCTCTTAGGTACATTCCACTATCGTTTGTTTTATTACGCAATTCTCATTTTAGTTTTCCTGCTAAGGGTTTGTTTTTTATTACACAATTATTTTTTTTTGGTGCTAATTTTTTTATTTGTTACACACATATCATTTTAGTTTTCTGTGAACGGTTTGTTTTATAACACAATTATAAATCATTTTAGTTTTCTGCCAATGGTTTGTTTTATAACTCAATTATAAATCATTTTAGTTTTCTGCCAATGGTTTGTTTTATAACACAATTATCATTGTTTGTTTTATTACACAATTATCATTGTTTGTTTTATTACACAATTATCATTGTTTGTTTTATTACACAATTATCATTGTTTGTTTTATTACACAATTATCATTGTTTGTTTTATTACACAATTATTAATCATTTTAGTTTTCTGCTAATGGTTTGTTTTGTTTTTTCTGTGCGTCAACAGAACTGCCAGCTGCTCAAGAACCAGCGCCGTCCAACACAAACATGCTGAAAAGTCCCTCCAAAGTTATTATGTTGCTGGTCAGTGTCGCAGAGGATCAATGTTTCATTTTCAGTCCTTTTCATTCCCTAACATTGTTTTTTCATTTTGTGTTTGATGTTCATGGAAGAGATCTAGGTCTACATTTAAAAAAAGAAATATGATCAATGAATAATAAATTGCTATTAAAGTTTATGCCTCCCAGAATGTTGAGATTATTTTTGAACACTATCAGGTTTGCTGGGGAAATTATATTAGATTGTAAAGCACATAGATAGAGCCTGCTGTTGAGCAGGGATATGCGCCATTCAAATGTTATAAATTATTATTATTATTTTTATTATTATTGTTTTAAAAAAATTTATTGTCATTATTTTATTATCATTATTATTATTATTTTTATTATTTGTATTATTATTATTATTATTTTTATTATTATCATTATCATTACGATTAGATAGTGTGGAGGGATGTAGTGACTATGTTTATGATGGGTGTGGTGTTTTGTCAGAACATGGTGGGCCCGGGGGAGGTGGACGAGGAGCTGGAGCCTGAGACGGCCGAGGAGTGCACCAAGTACGGAAAGGTCAACAAGTGTGTCATATTTGAGGTGAGCCGGGACCTAATTAAAATTAGAAAAAAAAAAAGTAGGTGTTTTTATGCCTCCATCAACACAATTTAGATAATTTTGGAGGCTGGCCTCTGACCGAGCCTGTCCTGGCACACTTGGGCTGAGAGGGATACAACATCCCAGCAGAAAGAAATATTGGATAAATATTCTCCCTGTTCAGGAATCGAACCCGGGTATCCTGCATGTGACAGGGAAGTGCCTGATCACAGTCGCCGGCGAGCCTGGACCAGTAAAAGTGAAGTATAGCTCCCCTTGGCCTGCCAAGTATTTGGAATGGCCTCCTCTGGTGTGTGACTTGGACATGCTTGCTTCTACACTGGTCTACATGTGCATGTTTTCCTACCAATCTCACCCCCCCCCCAAAAAAAAAAATAAAAAAAAAATTAAAAAAATTAACAAAACAATATATATATCACAATATTAATGTATGTCTTATACTTTACTTTTACCCCTGAACCCTCACTGAGAATACTGTGGAAATTGTCCAAGATGACCACCCATTGCCACAGAGAAAAGTGGTTGTCTTAGACAGGTGGATATCTTGGACAGTGCCAGTGTCATGATAATGTAGAAAAAATGTAAGGGGGGGGGGGAGGGGGGTCATTTGTCCAGGTGGCTGTTAGAGCAGATTTGACTGTACTTTTGTGTTTGTAAAGTGTTTTATCAGGTAGTTGTCAACTGAAGATGCTGAATGTGAGTAATGTGACAAGTATCGTCTTCTGTCCTGACTTCGCCAATAGGTAAAACCTGGATGATGATATTAACTTTTGAAGTGAACATGATAAACATCTATCGATGAAGCCATCATATTTTTCTTATTCAATGTTGATTTCCATGAGTGCTGCTATTTTTTCCAGAACTAAAATTTTGTTGGTTTTTTTTTCTCACTTTTTGATTGTTTGTTGTACTTGTAGTACATTTGGGATTGATTTCAGAAAGTTTCAGGAATTTTTTGACACATGGTTCAAACTTCCCTCATACCTCAAAAGTTTACCTGAACCTCTGACTCATGGGGTGTTGGTGAAGAAATTGCTAGGTTGGGGTTTTTTTTCTTCGTCATATGTCTGTTAGGATTTTAATTTTTTTAAAAACCACTTGAGACTGACTGTATTTCTGTTGTTTTGTTCTCAGATTCCCGGTGCCCCAGACGATGAATGTGTGCGGATTTTTGTGGAATTTGAGAGAATAGAGTCTGCAATTAAAGGTGTGTATGAGCCGTGTACGAGTTTTACCATAGCACCAACTTTTGAGAATAGAGGGGGAAAATAATCTTAATATAGCCTTTTTTACCTAAAACTCGCCCCTCTTTTTGCATTTATTGGTTACTTACAAGAAAAAATGGGAACACAAAAGGAATGTTATTAAAAAACAATAAAATAAAAGATTTGAATAAAATTTTTTTTAAAAAATCAAGTGTACTCAACCAAGAAGTACAGACGAGTCATAGGCCAACTGGCAGAGAAAAGAGAGAGAGATAAGGGACAATAATAGCTGGCCAATCATCTTGTAACTTATCTTTTGGGGGGGCGGCACCTCAAAAGTCCCGATTCGCCTCAAAACTATGGATTTTAAGTTGTAGGTATTTTTAGTTTCTTCAGCCTCTTTTTCTACTATTTCATCACATAAGAACCACCCCCTAAAGCCTTCTTTCTTCCCATACCGATTACCGGGCATGTTTCTTACCACCATTTCCTCATAAAGGCAATCTTTTATTTTTATTTATCGCCTGTTTTCTCGAAACGTGGTTTTTCTATATATATACTTTAAAAAATAAGTCGACCATTTTACTTCCAGTTTTCATGAAAGGAAAAAAGATAAAAAAATTTGTGTGATGAATTTTTTATAAATGGAATAGTTTTTTGTTGGTGTTTCGAGTGTGGACTTTCACAGATTTTTTGCAAACATGAATATTACCTCAGGAAATAAATTCATGAAAAATGTTCTAGTGGGTTTAAGAAAAATTCATCACACAGATTTGTAGATCTATGTTTTCCAAAATGCAAGCCAAAAAAAAATAAATAAAATTATTTTCATAAAATATATAAGTACGGTATTAATTATGTAAGACTTGTCAACAAAATCCAATATGGCTGCTGTATCCATGGAAACAACATTTTTTTTCTCTCAAATTTTATTGTGGATTTTAAGACTCCTTACTGTGTTTGTTATATGTGTGTAATTTTAAAAATATTTCTGCTTTCACTTAATTCATTTTTGTCACCTCTGAATTTTGCCTGTTTCTCAAAATTCAGCTCTTATCTGAAGGCAAATAACAGGTTGAAATCTGCTTTAAAAAAAACTTGGACGTTGGTAGACTATATGCTTGTGTTTCAAGGAATTGCAGAAAAACAATATCAGACCTAACTTGAGAAGTAAGGCCGGTGGGAGATTCCTTATTACTTTGATAATGATAAGCTGCTTTACTCCTATTCCAAAGTTCCTGGCTTATTTCCAGGTTGCTGTAAGCTTGGTGGTTGGGTTTTTTTTATTGGTTGAACTTTTCATTCCATCCGTCTGCCAGACCAAATTCCTGGAACAGGACCAAAAAAAATAATCTAAAGTCTAAGAAAAGTGGTCCGCTTGCAGGCCATTGCCAATAAATTGCAAATAATGAAGGAAAATATATCTTAGATCTAGTCTTCATATTTTTTATGCAACTATTGTTTAGCAAGCAGAAATATTTTCTGAAATTGAAAATAATGGGGTATTTGAAAAATTTGGGGGAAAAGTTTTTAAAATGACTTCGTAAAATGAACAGTGTTATAAAGAGGAGAAATGTGTCATCACATGTGTGTGTGCCTGGAGAAAGGTCTCAGTTGTCCATAATTTAAATATTAAGATAAGGGCATATTTTTCTAGCAAATTCAAAGCGGAACACACTGACTTATAAAAAATGTTTTTCAAATATCTTGAATAGTTTTTTAGATATGCCACATTTTGTAACACAGGGAGTTCAAATGAAGTTTGAGAAAAGTCCTATTTCTAGCACTTTTTTAACCTTGGGGGAAGTTCATGTTGCAAAAATAACTAATAAAAATATTTAGACTTAAAATATAATAAAATCCTTTCAATATGCTATAAAAAATGGTTAAACGTGTATTTTCTGATGGAACTAAATGTTTGACCAGGCACACATTTTTGGGCCTTTTCACCACATTGCTCACAAATAGCTTTGCTGACAACTGGGGCCCTTCTCCAGCTACACACTCACATATGAGCTAAAATTTTAATCAGTAACTCAATTTTTACATTCCTGAAAATTTGTTGAAAAAGTAGCATTGAGAATCCGGACCGGCCAGGGCTCAGTGAGTTATATAAACAACATGAATACGTACATTCACCGTTAAGTCTGTTTCTAAACTACGAGCTTGACGGAAAATTTTCTAACTCTGAATTTTTTTTTTCTTTTTCCCCAGCTCTTGTGGACCTGAATGGCAGATTTTTCGGAGGCCGTGTGGTGAAAGCGTGTTTTTACAATCTGGACAAATTTCGAAGGATGGATTATAGCAGTTGTGTAGAATAAGGGACAAACTTCTAGTGTAGAATAAGGCTCAAAGTTCTACACTCCTTCCTCATAGTCGCTCGCCATGTGTTTGAATTTTCTATGTCCATGCATTCATTGTACATAAACATTAAAATATATTCAAATGACCCAATAGTTTTTGTTGTATTTTTCTTAAGTTCAAAGCAGTTCTTAGTTTGAACAAATGAAATTAATTTCTAAGGATAGTAAACAGCACCACGGATGGTAACTTACAAAGATACAAAAAAATTACTGTTGCTACGCTTTTTATACAGTGTATAGAGAAATAAAGCTTAGAAAAATCTATCAAAACCATTTTCATAAAGACATAACTTTAACATACAATTTTTGTATATTTTATTCAAAATCAGATCAACTGGATGAATGAACAAAGTGGTATCTACATCTTATATTATGATTATACACAACTATGAGTAGGTACATTGTCGGCCAGGAGGCCATCATTTTCTTTATATGTATAAAACAGAAATGGACAAGACATTCATCAACTGAACTTGCTTATTATTTCCTTGGAACATTACAAACAGAACAAAAAAAAATTATTAAAACATTTTGAGGCATGGACAACCACGCTAAAAAATCCATCGTCCAATACGAAACGTGCTTGCAAACAAATCTTGTGTCCAATATGGAAGGGGTAATTTACGTGTGGTCGTGCGATAATTTGGGTGGGTGTGGGGGGGAGTCGGTGTGAGTAATGACGTTTGATTCCCAACCCTCCCCACCACCCCAGGGTACCCCCCACAGGGTGCACACCACAGCGAGATCAAACACAGACTTCAGAGGGGAGGCAATCGTCAATGTGTGTGTGCGTGAAAACCACGGCATGTCCTTCCTTACACACGAAAAGGTCCTTCGAAAAGGAAGCTTGTCCTATCTAAGTCAAAGATACTGAAACCTGTTTGTCAAAATTCCTTGTTAAATTTGGACAGGATGAGCCCTATACATCAGTCAGCATATTAGTTAAAAAAGAAACATTGGTGGTTTTTTTCGCCCCATTGACAAAGTATTTGTAAGTTTACTACTTTACTTCTTACTTTTACTTTTTCCTTCCTCTGGCATCCTTAGGATGTCGAGGGGAGGTGCAAGTTTCCGTCCTGGGCTAGGAGGGTAGCGTCTGTGATAGATCCCATTTACATGATGACCGTATAACAAACTTGATGGATATCACGGAGGGACAAAAGCCTTCTAGAGCACTTTAGCAGGCCATGGCAATATCTGCTGCCCTTTATCAAAAGCCTTTATTTTTGGTTGTTTAATTTTTACCTTGATGCCGTCGAGAGAAAAGAAATTTTGGCGGTAAATACACGGTAGTGTGTAATTGTTTTTCAGATCAAAATAATGTTGAGAGTTCAGTTAGACTCTAGCTATTTTCTACATTGTACTGGACAAGTGAAGCTGCCACTGGTAAGGAAAGTGTTGCTACTTAGACGTTGGAGAAGATCCACAGATTCAAAATGGAGAAATGAGGTGTAAGGAAGGACCGCCGGGTCGTGGTGGGTGAGGTGAGTAAGTAGAATGGCCGTTCACCGAGAACATGAGGTGAAAGTGGGAAGAAATTTTTGGGAACTTGTCAAATAAATAATCACAGTGGCGTCCTCTTAAACTTAAAACCGAAATCTGCGAGACCATCACACAGTCTTCGGTTTAGCTGGGTTTTTGGTTCAGATAAGTTGCTCAAACAGGGAGGGAAAAAAAATTGGGGATTAACTGTTTTATGGATGAATTGTGTTGAGTTTGAGCGGACGCCACTGTATTTATTTACCGTTACTGTTACCGTCCACGGTTCCCAGAGGTGACAAAACTGACATGGAAGCTGCTCACCAACAAAAAGACACGGAGGCGTAACTTTGGCATGGACCCCCTGAGTAGACAAACCGCAGCAACAGTTGCGACACCCGGTGCCAGCTCTGCGCTTTGTATCTTAAATTTCTACGAGCTTACACGTAGATCTTTTGCTACAATCTCGAGGTCAGCAGACGAAAAAAGGGTTTGAGAGTAGGGTCACAATCTGAGTTCCTTTTGCATACATCAGTGGACAAGTAATAATAGCTGATATTGTTGACGCGCTGTTCCCATGTACTAAGCATAGAATTTTGAAATTGAAAAAAAAAAATTGGTATTTCTCAATCTGTGGTGGTATATCACTTGCATGTGCTTACACTTACACAATATCTCGGAAGGTCAAATTCTAAATGTTGAAAAAAAAAAGAAGGAAAAAAAACCCCAACTTTACTTTTCCGATCAAGCAGCCACTTGGGTTCTAGCCCTTCGGCCTGTCCATGTGGCAAAGAACTTACAGGGTTTTTATCAGCTGTGTTTTGTAGCTGTACAGAGTATTTCCCATGTCTGGGGAGGGGGAGGGGGGAATAAAAGAAAAAACGTAGGGTGTACTATAATCATTTTAAAAAAATGAAATTTTTCTCTTTGCTGAAACGGAAAATTAATTTTTGCTTTTCGGGCTTAGAACAGTTGAACAGCTCGTCGACAACATATGACAAACGTGTGATAGAAGATGGTAGTTTAGCAGACACTCACAGCAACACTGCTTGGTATGTACAGATGAGGTCGTTGGTGTTGTGGCAACATGAACACTCCACTCATACCCGGTGATGATGATGATGATGATGACAACAATGATGACAATGATGATGAAGATCATAAAATCAAATCTGAGATGATTGAGTAATATCACAAACGCAGACTGCGCTGACCAACACAGCCAAAAAAAAAAAAAAGAAAAAAACCCACAAAAGGTTTGAGGACAATGCGGTGGGCGTAGTCCCTGTGGGCCCACCACGGCTCACAAGCTGTGCTGGTTTACCACGGACTACTGGGTCAGGACAAGAGAAGCTTCACGGTCAAAGCCAGCTGGGATTGGTCGCAGACAAGAGACATTTGGTATTCAACAAGGAGGAAATAAGGCTAGCTCACTAGATAATACAATCACTTGACAAATTTTCAAAGAATCTACTAGTAAAAAAATCAAGCCTCTATCGACACTATGCATTCTGGCAACACTTGCGAAATTGGAAATGCTTTAGCTTCATCAACGAGAAAAATACTGAGCAGTGGTTAAGACACTTATCATTGACCGATATCAAAACGATTTCATCTCGCTACAAAGACACAGATGTTGCTTGTCTCATCCTGTAAATGACGAGGACCTCATTCACACCAATCAAAACGTCAAAAAATGATGGTCGGTGACAAGAAGAATGCGCTGCCTGGTGTCAGGATTTGTTTCCTAGGTTAGTGGTCGTTGGTCCCTTAACGTAGAACAGCCCTACTCTAGTAGTACCAACTAAAGCAACAAGTTGGTTCTCACGAGAACAAAATAATAAAACATCCGGTACACAAGTCTGTGGTGTGTGACGTGATGATTGGCGGGAGTTCGAACCTATGGCAACAGCAGAGATTTGTTCTGAAGCCTGACATGGACAAGAGAGGAGCCCTTGCCGTCTCACTCTTCCACAATATAACTGCAGTAACATGACCGACTGGAAAGTAAAAGTGAAGCAAAATAAAAAAACTTCAGTCATTAAAAATGTAGCAGCTTTGATGAGACAGAACAAAATATTTCACCATGTCAGCGACTAATAACTCTTCCAAATGCGTGAAAAAGTGTCTCTAGTCATACGGCATCTTTTGTTTACATGTATTATATTCATTAGCTTATGCTACCAAGGTCAAAGTAATTCCTTACTTTACAAATTGCCAAAACAGGCCTTTTCATTGTTTCATAGCTTGCTTATCATAAGTCAAAGTCTCTGAGCTCTCTAATGTTCAGAGCAAGAAATACTTCCAACAATCTGCCATTAATCAGAAAAAAGGAGGCAAAGCATAACCAAAATTGAAGAGGATGAACTTCAAAATACAAAACAAAGGGAATACAAATAGTAAATAAATGAGAAAAACAAAACAATGACAATAATAGTTATAAAAATAAAATAAAATATAAACAAGTCGACAACAAAGATTTGGAAAGAGCAACAAGTGTCCCACATAGCGACATTCCAGCCACACATGACAAAATTATATCCTACGGCTGCTACCTGTATCTGTAGGGAACTCGCGGCTCAAATTTTTACAACATAAATGACAAACATGCTTTAAGAAAATCAGATCTTTGATATAAGCAGGTGGGACAACATTGCAAATTCTGACACGACGGGACGGCGTCCGTCTGTGACGTGTCGAGTTTCACGAGGTCAACAGCGGAGATAACTGTCGAGTGATTCCATCATTGGGCAAAAGTAAAGAACAGACCCCTACCCCTGGCACATCAGCACTCTAACTTACTGAATCCCCTTTACTGATGAGACGGTTCCATGTACGTTTGTGTTGAAAAGACAACAATAACATATTTAATGAAAAAATTTTTAAACAGCCATAATATTATCGCTCCCCTAATTTGAAAATAAGCAACTACAAAAGCTTTAATTACATCTCCTAAAACGTACTATAGAGGCCAGCCAGGAGGAAAAAAGGCAGAAGAAAAGTTTTGGAAACCCCAAGTGAGTACAACAACCGTGTACACAGCTGTGAAGAAGTTCACTAGACCTGACTCGTTCAGTCTGTGATGGTTTAATTACAGTACAACACTTTCTGGTCCACTGGTCCGTGTCATTCACGGGCACGGGTTCTACTCTTTATTTTTGCCCAAGATTAACAAACATCTTTTCGCCACGAATATGACAGCAGCTCACGTGTAGACATACGGGCATGGAGAGTGAATGAGGAACGTATCTTGGTGTTTTCACATAACTTTTCAGAAACGGAAATATAAATACCATAATAGAATTGATGGCGGAGCATAATGGAAAACAAACTGAATGTGAAGTCACCAAACAGATCCCAAGTGTGTTGTTTCTGTTCCTAGCTTGGCAAAAACTTTGCAGTCAAAGTAAACTCAACTATAAGAAATTTATATGCATACATGGTTCTCAGTCCACAGTTCAACAACAGGAATCTTCTGTCATTTGAACAGTAAATCACAACATGATATTCTCACTCCCTATATTAATGTTATCAGCAGGCTGTCATTTGCACTGATAAAAAGAGTGAAATTGTTCACACATGTGAAAACACAAGAATGGCATGTTGATTATTATAACACAAGACTTTTCCCCACAGGAAGTTCCTCACACATGAACAAACGTAGACACGGACTTTGCCAACTGGAAACTTCAAACGGTGCATATAGAACTCAGATCCTGTGATATTTCACACACCAAGGAGAATTTCAACAAATTATGAACAGGATGGGCACAGGTAAAGGAGGAAACACTCGAGCATGGAAAATAAAGATGGAAAGGAAGAAACATTTCTGAAAGAGAGGACAATGAAGGCAAATGGGAGGGAAAAGAAAACCACAACTGGAAAATAGAATTCATTTGAATACCAGAGGAAAATTATGAAGAAAAAAAACACCCTTCGTGAAAAAAAGACAACTTTCTGTTTGCTGTGAGAAATGACCCGAGCAGTCATGTTGGCCTACCCTTGAGATATTCCATTTTTTCCGAGTGAAGCAACAAAGCAAAGAGCAACAGTTACTGTAGGCCTGTCTTACATCTGTTCTATCCTTTCTGTCGGAACATTTCTTCTATGTTTCAAAAAGAGAAGAAATAGACATACATCAGAGAGATCAAAAAGTAACGTGACAAAGCTCTAATATATAAGAATCTTCGTTACAGCAATCACCACATCCTGAAATGGCACAGATACTTCTAGGAACCAAGGGCATAGAAACCCTACCACAGCATAGAAAGACTTCCACAGCACAGAAACCCTAGCACAACTATCACTGAACACTTCTTCTCAGACAGAGCAGCCACGTTTTCTCTTCCCTCAAGAAACATTTCTGGAAACACTACTATGATTGGAATAAAGAAAGCGACTTATAAATTTGTACAACTTTTACCTAAAAAAAAAAAGCACAAAGCATTCTGTTCTCTACTGTCCAAGCCAGTCACCCATCACATGGACAAAGTAGAAGTTGCTGAAAAAATGGACTAGTAAACTTTCTACACTCAAACTCGCTTTTTATTCACTATAAGCAAAAAGATAGGAGGAATTCCAGACACTCATCCTATAAATACCATGGGACAGGATGAAACTCATCCTGTAAATAACATAATATTCTTTGAAAGCTGAACAAAGCCAGCCATGATTGTTGAAAGAACTTTTGTTTTTAATGATCACGAAAAATTTTTACTTTTAAATTCATTATATACATATATATGCCACTGGCATGAGTCCTGTACAAAGGACATTTGTACTTTTCTTTTAGAATGATGATATCAATGCTCATTATCAAAGAAATTTTTACAACTCTAGGAATTATGATACCAGTAGGCCTACACATGACAAAACCTTCCACAATCTGCTTATTGTACAGCATGACTTCAGAGACACGGAAATTTCACAAGCATTTTTCATTTCTCCCCTACAAACATAACAATGACAAAACCATTGCTACTCTCGACACTGACAGACTACCCAACACACTCTACAGCATGACAACATGACGCTAGCGGTGAGAAAAAGTTGAATGTACAAAAGACTGTGACCAAGGCACTCAGCCTTGACCTTTGTAACCAGCCTGTCGTCACTCTCATGGGTGGCCCTGCTATGTACAAAAGACTGTGACCATGGCACTCAGCCTTGACCTTTGTAAGCAGCCTGTCGTCACTCTCAAGGGTGGCCCTGCTTCGCCTACATCTACCGATATAACGGTAAGAATAACAGAAGTAAAAATGAGTCACATTGGGTTGGTTTTAATTAAAGCTCCTTTCACTGTAAGGTGATTTAAGAGGTGGGATCTCAGAATTAAAAGAACAAATTCTCAAAAGCAAGCCAAGTTCAGAATGCCCCATTGGGGATTCGAACCAGGGCCTTCCGCTCTGTAGTGAAGCATGATAACAACTAAGCTGAGCTAATGGTGTACCCAACACAGGAGCAAACAGTATCTCAAATACTTCAGATCAAATAACAAAAAACTTCTAGAACTGCGGTAAGTCCAGACAGTTCTCTATCTGCCAGGGTCTGAGACAACAGCGACAGTTTCCACGACAACGCACGGCTGTAAAGACTAGGCTACTGGACAGAGCAGGACCTAAAATTTTTTTATCTAAAAAAAAAATTCCACCACAATTGAGAGCAACTTTCACAGACACTGCACAGGTCATCTGGTCAAAGTCTTTTGCACAACAGCGCATGAGCACTCTCACAAACATAGACACACACAACACACGGATTTTAGCACATATGAAACCATAGCGCACAAACAACGCAGTCACCGTCTTCTCTAACCAACGTCCCACAGTGGCTGTTTGTTCAGACATAAAGGGAGGGCACTTGGTTCAAAATGCCGGCTGCAACCGCCATGAGAAAGGGGAGGGCGGAAAAACTCAATAAATAAGGGCCAAAACAACGACGATGATGCTGACGATGATGATGATGCTGATGATGAGGACAATGACAGCAAAGACGTTGATGGATGAAGGATGAAATCACTGCACGGGGATCGCGGGATGAAGCGAGATGCTGCCAGGCGGCGGCCGGCTCCTGTCTGCTGCTACGACAGCGTGGACACAACAGCCTCCAGGGTCGGGTAGATGGCCATCAGCACCGCAAACAGCAGCATCAACAGCGGGATGGTGGACACCAGCGAAACCTGGGGGGAGGAGAGAGTTAGTTTTAGTGGAGGTATTTACGGCTCTCGCAACTGCATAAGGTCATATGAGAGCCAAGGGGTGTATGTCAACAGAGAAGTCTTTACAGGGAATCAGACTTACTCTGCTCTCCTCTCTAGCTTCAACAGCACAAGGTCTGCTTCGACTATCAAGGACCCCGGAAATAGCAGGTCACAAGAGAGTGACAAACATACAAAAGAAGTAGAGGAAAATGACAATAGGAAGGATTAGGAAAGAAAAAGCAGCAGTTCCCTGTTGTAGATCAGGCACAGTTATGAGCTTGACATATTAAATCAGCCCATTTACAATTCTACTATGCTTGAACGAGAAATGTCCCCCCTTTGGGAATGGCCTAAAGACACTTCAGTCAGTGGCACTGCCGCGGGGGGTACCAGAAGATAAGAGGTGTTACAAGAGAAAAAAGAAGAAGGGGAGATAAGGACGATAGATGTTTGATGGGATAGAAGAAGCAAACCACACTAGAGCACCCGCCAACCACCCACGGGGAGGAGAGAGACAGCTCTTATACCACACACATATAGCACACATGTGAGGCAGCATGGTGAATTCAGGCACTCGTCAAAATAATTAAATTAAAGAAGCAGGCGATTTTCCGTCGATTTGACAATATTGATCAGTTCTTTGTTTTTTCGCTAAATATCTTTTATGTCCATTTAAAAACACATATCTGTGTGGATTTTACTGAAAAACGATAAAAGGCGCAAAAAAAAAAAAAGAAGTAAATTTTCAGTTTCCCAGGGCTCTCCAGCAATGGAATTCATCAAACTTCGGCAGTCATTTTCTCTTTATTTATACCTTTGAAACCAGACGACCCCCACCTCCTTCAATTGCAAATATCTCGACTTCTATTGAAGACAGATAGTTAATCGTTTCACTGAAAGCCAAAAAAACCCCAACGAACAAGCTGTAAGATGATACCAATAACTCCACATGCTAAAAAATTAATGAGCGCCTGATTCCACCATGTCATGACACGGCCCATGATTCAGCACAATGCTACAAAGTTATGCATTTTTGGGATGTACCACCTAGTGGTTAGGCTAGCGGACACGTAATGGTGAGATGGCCGGTTTGGGACCAAGGGGTTCGAGTCTCACTCGGCCCCATGTTGTGTCCTTTGGAACGGCACTTTACATAAATTTCCCAAATGGCTCGGTCCTTTCCCAGATGGACTTTACACCCAGAGGTCCCGCCTATTAAATAACCTAACAGTGTTGATAGAGGCGTTAAAACTACTCCATTTCACCATTTTTTCCCTCCATGTACGTCATAAGTCAACCTAATAGTTTTGATCAGGGTCCATATTGAGCAGGAGATTTTTTTCCCCAAGACTTTCCAAGAGTTCTCAAGACCAGATTTCTTTTTTCCAAGACTAATAGCGGGTCATTTCGGAAGAAAATCTTCATTCAGAATGCAAAAATGTTACACCTCAGAATGCGTAAAGTCGAGGCCTTCTAAACTTGGAGGAAATATTTTTATAATAGATCTAGTTAAAAATTTGTTATTCTAAGACTTTTCCAAGAATTTTGCCAATTTCCCAAAATTAAAAGTTTTCCATGTCTTGGGTAAAAAAAAAAAAGTCCAAAAGTTTTCCAGTTTTCCACGACCGGTACGAACCCTGGTTGATACAGGCAGTAAACCTGTACCATTTTTTGATCCATGTACGTCATGAGGCAAAGAAGGAGCTAAATGATCAATACGGCATCAGTAGAAGCACACAACATGTACAGCCTTTGGCACTCACCATTCGAGATTTGTTCTGCAAGGCCTGGTAGTCGGCCGTCATGTCGGAGATCTGTTTCCGCAGCGAGCCGATCTGCTGCGCCTTGTCGTCGCACGAGCTACGCAGCTCACCCAGCTCAGCCCGCGCCTCTTCCAGCTGGGGACAGGGGGAGGGAACACATGGAGGAATTAGTTCACCAGTGTGTGGGGTCAGAGGTCACAATGATGTAACATCTACCGGCACCATTATAATTTCTTACTGATGGAACCCTCTGACAAGCAATACATCAAAATAATTGGCTAACTATAGCGCGACCTCAGTACTTTCTTGTTCGTATCTCCATTTTTTTTAAAACAGTGAAAATGTGACTTCTTCTGAAGCTCAATCTTTGTTATGAACTGTTTTCACTGTTATTAAAAATGGAGATACACCAAGAAAGCACTGAGGTCGCGATAAATGAGCTTAAAATCAAAAGGAAGACCACAAGATTTGACTTAAATTGGTTTGAATTTTGTGGTGTTTTGAGTACACAGTGACTGACTGGCATATAAATGCGGTAGGCTTCACTTTATTTCTAGTCATCAGCCCTCTCCCCAGAAGAAAAAAAAGCCAAGAAAAATTATTTATTTCAAATAGTAAAGAAATTAAAGCGTAGTTGGGTTTTATAATGTAGATTGGAAACAGTTTTGTAGTTATTGTTATTAACCCAGTATATAATAGCTTTAAAACATTGATTCTGTCGTAGAAACATTTATGGGGACTGATCAAGACCAAAGTTCCCAAGTAGGCTTATAGAGTATAATGTTAATAGGAGAGCTACTTCTTTTCATCAAATTACTTACAAGAACAGAAGACAAATTAGCTGTAAATATTTCAATGAGTAAAACAATATGTAAACCATTCAACAAAAACATTCGCCAAAGGAACTTTTAGCAACTATTCAAAAAAGTAAAACGCAAAGATAAAGTGGCAAACAGTGAGTGGGGAAGGTGAAAAGGGGGAAGGAGAGGGGAGGGGGGAAAGAGGAGGGGAAAGTTGGTTGATAAAAGAGGAAGAAGAAAGCAGGGGGAGTAGGTGGCACACACTTGAGCTGCAGACTAGGTCGGCCGAACAAAATAGCAGCAAACATCAAACATCTAATTACACGAGTAACACACATCTAACTTCACGTGTAACACACTATGGTCCACTCACTACCAGGACCTAAGCTTTTACACGACAAGCTGTTCAGACAACGCGGGAGACAGAGGACACGTTTCATGCCAAGAACACCAACTGTGACTCTAGCACCGAGGACAATCTAACATGGAGGACAATGAGCTCAGACAGAAAAACAAAGAGCTTGATGAACTTATGAGAGAAGAACCAAGGCCACTGTGGTCTACAATAACCTCGGCCCCACCAGCACCACTGCAACAACAGCAGCCAGACAGAAATTTATTCAACACACTTCATGACCAGTGACTCTTTGTTGAGATTTAAAAAGTGAAAAACTGTAAACAAATCCACGTATCAGCAGATATCAAACGACAAAAACTTGAAAGAAACTTATATAAAACATTCAATGACCAGCGATGCTTTGAGAGTAAAAAAAAAATACTGTGAACAACCAGACAATGCAGCTGATATTAAACAACAAAAACTTGAAACTGCGAAGAAAATGCAAAGATAACAGCAAAAAACTTGTACAAAACAAAGAGCAGCGATGCTTTGAGAGGAAAAAAGAGAAACTGCGAACAACAGGACACTGCAGCAGACATATATAATAACAAAAACCAAAACAAAAAGAAGAAGAAAATATCCAGAGGAAGAAAGCAAAGAGACACAGAACAGTCCAGTCAGTGACACTGCTACTCTACACTCAAACCTACAAATCAAACACATCCATAACAAAACAAGAGCAAAGCGAACTTATTTTTCCAATCCTGTTTTTTTTTTTCTTTTAAAAAAATTAGCGAGAAATCACAGAGGTGAACACCGAATTTAAAATATCAATAGTTTCCTTTCGACAGGGAAAAAGTTGAATGTTTTTTAAAGGTAACGATATAGGCAGAGCTTGATCAAAACATATGACAACTAAAGCAAATCAAGAGGAAATTCTGTATTCTGAAGATGAGAACATTTTGATGCATAAGACTAAGAGGGAAACAACACAGCATTGGAGGGGAAACAGCGTGTTAGGCCTCGTGACACCTGGTAACACGGCTTATAATCATAAATAATAGCATTAGTTTAGTGCAAATTCCAGCTCAATGCCAAGGTCTACGTTCTTTAAAATCTTATATTTATTACTCCAGCTGACCTGATGGCATTCTGAAACAATCTCAACTTCTTGGTAAGCATACAGTGCAGGCTGCCACTTTTCTGGTGCTAAAACACTAACATACCAACTGACAAAATCTTTCACTGTCTAACACACACTGTGACATACACCTAGCTATAACTATCGGGTAACACATTATATAACACACACAGTGACACACCTAGCTATAACCATCGGGTAACACACTATATAACACACACTGTGAAACACACCAATCAGTAAAGCAAGAAACTAAACAAAACACGGTGAGGAAAGCCGGAAACTCAACCAAACACCAGCAAATAACGGAAAACCAAACAATCTCTGCGGCAGTAAGGGAAGGGTGAGAAACTGTAACAGAGAACAGCAACAGCCAACAGCAACAGCCAACAGCCATACCGCAGCACGTGGGAGTACCTGAGAATAGAACGAAGAGGAAGACGAGGGAAAAGGAGCGGACGCAGAGGAGGGACCCATCAGCACAGAGGCCGAGGGGGTGGGAGGGGAGGGGGTGCTCTCCTCTGGACTCCGGTTCAACGAGGAGAAGGAGGGGGAGGAAGAGGAAGTCAGGCCAGCCATGTCTCGCGACGCGGGGAGACCGGGGAGGATTCCGTGTGCGCTCGACGGGGGGAAAGAGGAAGGGGGTAGCGGTGACGAAGTTGACAAGAGGAAGGAGGAAGAGGAGGAGGAGGAGGAGGGAGGATGAGGGGGCGAGGAGGGGAAGCCCGAGTCGCAACTGGAGGAGGTCGGCAGCCCCCTCACCTCCTGCAGCGAGGAGTGCGCGTCTTTCTGCGCGTCGGTGACTGTGAGCTTCCAGGAATGCTCGCTCGTCTCCAGCTTCACCTTGAGAGACTCCAGGTGCTTGTACGACTCCTGCAGCTTGTTGTACTCTGAGGACAGGTGCAGGTTCTCCTTGCGCGACCTGCCAACACACAACAGGAGATAACAATATTAATAATTATAATAATGAAGATCACTTCTATAGCGCCCACTCCCGTGTAAACATAGATCTAGGCGCTATACGTAAATGATGTACGAACAATATTCACACACACACACACAACAGGAGATTCAGAACAACGGATTCAGGTTTTTGTTTTAGATAATGATAAAAATTGCATTTATGTAGCGCCCTATCCCATACGAGTATAAGCCCCAGGGATGCCACAGGGTTTTTCTTTTTTAAGTAAGAGTTTTATGGCACTTGCAACACAATAAGGTCATATAAGTGCCGAAGATTAGAGGTGTTACAAGAGAGTAACAAACACAAAAAAGGAGGAGAGATCGGAACAATAGATATTTGATAGGAAAGAAGGAGCAAACCATACCAGAGCACCCGCCAACCAACCACCCACACACGACAACTGCTTTAGTTTTTTTTGTTTTAGATAATAAACGATTGCATTTATGTAGCGCTCTATTCCATACGAGTATAAGGACTGAGCGTTTTACATCAATGATGTGTTCACTGAGCATAATACACGTTCACACAAGATAAAAACATTCGACATTAATGAGAAAACCAGTTCAACCACAAAAAGAAGAACTTTCTCAGCCACACATTAATTATGTACACATAGGGACAGCAGAGACAAACAAGACATATCAGCACCCACTAACACACTACAACTAAGAATGACAAAACTGAGTCTTGAGCAATCAAGTCAAGAGTTTTACCACACTTGAAGAAACACAAATACTTTATGTAGGAGCCTAGAATTAGAGGTGTTACTAAACGGTACTTCACCCTCGCTACGAAAATTCGTATTACAGCACTTGACCATACGTGACAGACTGATTGAGTCTGTTTTACTGCACTATTGACACAATTTGGTCTTGTAGGCGCAACGGATTTCCTTAGTTTTTGTTTTAGTAAAAGTTTTACAGCACTATATTTATTATATTTAGGACATATAAGTGATGAAGATAAAGGGTATTGCTAGAGAGTAATATAACTTAATATATAAAGAGAATAAGGAGGAGAGATAAGGACAACAGATGCTTAATAGCACCAACCATCCATTCACACTGATATCAGTTATCGACCTGGTTATACTATTTTGACTAAAAGGACAGACAGACATTTATAATATTCGTACAATCCTAATTTAACGTACAGCAAAGAATCCAAATCTCTCTCCCACTCCCACATCAAAAGTTACTCACATTTTCATCTCAGCCTCTATAGCCTGGATTCGCTTCCGTAGATTGGCACATTCCTCTTTTAGAGCTTGATATTCTGGAAGTAAGGAAAGAAAACAACCGAATTTAAGTATGACAAAAAACAACAACAACCGAATTGAAGTATGAAAAAAAACCCAAACACATTTTTACAATCAAAGCAACATTATTTCCGCTTCCTTGGCAAGACAGACTGTCCCTTACATGTGAGTGTTAATGACATGAACTATGCAGTGTATATTGACTGCTTAGTGTAAGACTGCTTGTTTTAGTAAGAGTTTTACGGCACTTGAAACACAATAAGGTCATATAAGTGCTGAAGACAAGAGGTGTTACAAGAGAGTAACATACACAAAAAAGGAGGGGACATAAGGACAGTAGATGCTTGATGGGAAAGAAGGAGCAAACCACACCAGAGCACCCGCCAACCACCCACAAGCCGTACGTCGTTTCTCAATGTGTTGTACGACGGAGCGTTACACCCGGCAGTCAACATATGTTAATAGAATAGATGTCGTATATATACAGTGTACAGTTCATCATGTCCACAACCAGATAATGTCAAAACAGGAATAAAAATACGAGTGTCTCACAAGCGGGTAATAAAAACGTATTTTTTGCAAGCAGTATCTCTCACAACCAGTGCTATGTTGGCATAAATAGACAAAAAATGCAAAGAAGTGATCTTGACCATGGTAAAAAATAATCAGATATACATATTTGTCTTAAATAGGAAGACCGCAGTGGAAAAATGAGCAAAGTCATATTTTCACATCTGAAGAAGACCCAAGTTTTAATGCCAGAAGTGCCAACAGGCTACGGAAAAAAATCTGATCCTGTGGAAATTCATAGGCGATGACTCAAAGTTTACCTGTCGCATTGTCTTATACATCTTGTAGAAAGAATTTTTATAAAAAGAAATTTCCAGAATCCAGATTTCTGGACTTGTCCGAAAAAATTGACACCCCTGTAAAGTTCAAAACACACTGTACTTTGATTGCTCTTTTCTTGCACCATTTTTCTGAACAAAGTGACCATAATTCAAGACACAGCCTGTTGTTTGGTTGACTATTTTTTTCTCTCAAACTGAAGTGGAAGATGCACACACAGGTGCCAACCAGTTATCGGAAAAAAATTCTGAACTTTTCAGACCCGGTGGAAATAGGTGTGATGGGACTCAGATTTTACCAATCATATTGTCCGTAACATCTTATATCACACATTGACTGTCATGACAGGGATGTTGACCAGATTAGTAGAATGTACAAGTATAGAGATATATAGGTATATATAGATAGATATATTGAAGAAGTGCTCACTGTACACAAGTGACAGCACGGACAGCATTACATGGGAAAACAACCCGGGCTCTGTACATTACACTTTGAGTGAAACGACAAACATCTTATTCTGCTTCAGCTTTTCTCGAGTTGACGACTAAAGCAGTATACATGACACAGCTTTGCCTGGGCGGTAGATCTTGAGTGATAAAGGAAGTAGCTTGCTCAAGTACTACCTCCCTCCCTTCCGATCTTGACTTTCTTATATGCTCCAAAGAACAGACAGGTTCAATATGTTTGCAATTAAGAAAGTTGTAAGGGCATGAACCAGAGACACACATTACAGGACATTAAAGCCAGTGACATTTGGCTTCCCTCACCAGAGATCCTTCTTTTATCTTAAATAAAGACATTAACCGTAACAAGAAAATGGTTTTCACACTTGCACACGTCCACAACCATGACAAAAATAGGTCTGTGCACATGAGAAATTATATACAGACCCTAACAGCATCTAGCAACACCACTGGAACTCACTGAGTCACTTTCAAAACCACAGGTTTATCTCCCTACCATTAAGACAGAAATCAATTCAACCTTGATAACAAATAGATTTCCACACTTACGAGTATACACAGTCATGGGTACCTCCGTACCTTACAATCAAGCATTAAAGAAAAAACAAGACTCACCATCTTCCAAGAAGTCTGAGAGAAAAAACAAGCTGCCACAAATAAACAGACGTGAGGAAAGGTCAAACGGAAAAAAAACAAAAAAACATCTTACTAATGGAGACTCAAAAGGACACACTATCTGGTAAGTTCAAGCAGAAACTAGTCCTGGAGAAGATAATCCTGAGAACTTCTTTTTTCAAGTTTCACAGGGTTTTACGGCCCTTCCAACACAAATAGGTCATAAAGAGCTGAATAGTAAAAGTGTTACCAGAGAGTAACATATAAAGAAAAGAAAAAAAGAGATAACAATGATAAATGTTTGTTAAGAAGGAGCAAACCACAGCAGAGCCCCCACCAAACACTGACAGAGAACTTACTGAACACAGAAGGTATTGTTCTCTTAAACACAACTTTGAAGGAGAAACAACTTCAGGCCTTTGTAACACTCTGCACAAACTGAACGCGGGGCCGACAACATGGAAGTATGGGCGAGGGGAAAAGTAACACAATGTACTAAACCAACTAACCACCGTAAACAAAGGAGTTCCATTACCCGCCAACCTCTGGCCACAGATGACACCTCCAGGTATTCCAGGTGTAGTTTCTCAGTGGACAGAAATGAGAACAAATTCTCCATGCTCCATTTGGGAGGTTTATGGTTCCAGTAACAAACAGCTGGGTTTTTAAAAAAATGTAAATGCTTTTTATGCTCCCATGCACACAAATCCTATCATTTAGGCAGTGGGCTTTTGAACCTGCTTGATAAGGCCCACCCAGGCTGATAGGGATACAATACCCCAGCAACTCTTGTCTGATGGGGGGGAGAAAAAAAAAGGAAGAAAAGTCACTGAATGAAAAACAACATGTCGGTAGTTTCTTCTCCCCCTCCCACAGCGGCTGTCTCTGGCGTTACCTTTACTCCGGGCTGAGAGGCGGTCCGTGTTGCCGTGGCGAGAAGAATCCTTGCGATTTCTCTCAGAGTCCAACTCTTCTTGTAAATGTCTTAATTTGTCTGAATGGAGGGAAGGAACAATGATACGACATGCTCGTCAGTTTTTCCCGCGAGGCGTCAAACAAAAACACATGGCCAATGAGGCAGGGTCTGCTGGGTGGGTGGGCGGAGAAAACTGGCAGGTCATGCAGCACAACACCGAGGATGGGAGAGAAAGCCGCAGCATGCACAGAGCGAGTCGCCGCATGGGGGGAGGAAACTGTGGCAGGTCATGCAGCACAAACAACACCAGGGAAAGGAGAGGAGAGCAACAACAAGCCACTGCTACATGCACCTAGCGAGTCGCCCGCCCATACGGTGTGAGCCACTTCACGCACGTACACAGCCAGCTGCAGCATGCACAGAGTGAGTCGCCGCATGTACAGATCGAATCACCGCATGTACAGAGCGAGTCGCCACCCATGCGAAGTGAGCCACTTCACGCAGGTGCACAGCCAGCTGCAGCATGCACAAAGCGAGTCGCCGCCCATACGGAGAGAGCCACTTCATGAACGTGCACAGCCAGCCACAGCATGCATAGAGCGAGTCGTTGCAGACACACAGTGAGTCACTGCAGGCACACAACACACTTGGGATAAGCGTAACAAAGTACCACACACCGAGGAGACACAGGAAATGCTGGCACGGAATAGGGAGAGTGGCTGCAGCATGGCTGGCCATTGCGGTAAAACATTTCCAAGCAAAACAATGAAAAGTTTACAGGAGTCGGAAGGGCAAATGAAAATTGAAAAAAGCAAACAAAACAGCCAAAAAACCCAAAACAAACCCAACCTTGATGCAAACAAAAAACAAGCCAGCAGGATGTACAGCATATCACAACAAAATGTATAAGAATATTCTAAGATTTGAAAGTTCAAGTCTATGTTAGAGTGACATTAACTAATACTGACAGAGAATTAGATACAAAAAGAACAAAATTCGATGAAATACTTTTATCTTAAGTACCATAAAAAAATGAAACGACTGAAATAAATTTCAATAAAACATTGGGATCTTAGTTCTCAGATTCTAAGCATAAAACAATTTTGTTCTGTAAAAAACATTTAAAGTTTGTTGCTGACATTCTCATGCCCGTGAAAATAGAAAGATGACATAAAGTTCCTTTCACTTCACATATTTCTTCAAGCCCGCAAAGACAGATCAATGTTGACAACATGCCGTGAGCGTAAGCATACAGCAAGGAAAACATGAGCATGCTTAGAGTAACTTCTTCCAAAGTAATCTTATTGCTTGATCAAGTCAATACACTTCTTGTTTTATTTTGTTTCAGTGAAAGTTTTACGGCATATGCAACACATATAGGTTATACAACAAGTGCTGAAGATTAAAGATGTTATGAAAAAGTAACATTCAAAGAAAAGAAAGAGGTGGGGTTAAAGATGTTATGAAAAAGTAACATTCAAAGAAAAGAAAGAGGAGGGATTAAAGATGTTATTAAAGGAGAGATAAGAAATAGGTAGACGTTTAAGGGAAAAAATGAGCAACCCACACCAGATCACCCGCCAACCTCCCACAGGGAGGAGGAACAAGGAGAGAAGTGTAGATGAAAAGATAGGAAGGCAAGACTCAGGAGTGGACAGGCTGGAAAATACCCGAGGCTTTGGGAAAGTGCAACGATTGGAAGGAGTGGAACGAGAACGGGTGCTTATTGCAATCCCAACAGTCCACAAGACTACGGGATTGATGATGTGATGATCAAATAGCAGCACGTAGACGTGATAGCAGCCATTTAGTGTTGGGAAAAAGGAACCGTAGACGTGATAGCAGCCATTTAGTGTTGGGAAAAAGGAAGAGAAAAACAAAAGAGGGAAAGAAAAGACGTAAGACTCAGTTGATGCCTTCTAACACACACCAAAAAAAAAAAGTGCAAGATACTATAACATCACAGTTAAAAGAATACTGCGTAATGTTGTACATTTACACATGCCACAGCCAATGACACAAAACAAGGAGCACGCACAATTCAGCTGTCACCCAAAAACAAATATTAAAAAATAAAAAACAAGCGAGGGCATCACGTTTAATGCAAGGTCACAAACCACTTAATATCTTAATTTGCTTTCCATATAAACAGCAGAGCAGGACATAATTATCAACAGGAAGAGCCAGATCTGTGGCAGACATCGGCAAACCTGGTTTGCCACTCATTTCTCAGCTCGGATACACCCAAATAACTCATTTCATCCGTTTTTCCCCTTCAGCTGTCTGTTCCGAGTTCTTTACATAAATTGTTTTTGGTCTACCCCTGTCTCTTTTCTATTTTTCCAGTGAAAGCAAGATATCAAAGTTTTATATGTCAGTTCAGGGGTCCCAGAAACTGTATTTGTCTCTTTCTCTAATTGTTTCTATTTGTGAGCTGCCTATGTACACTTCTTTCAGCAATATCCCACTTGATTTCTTTACCTTCCATTTAATTCTCAACAATCTCATAAAAAACCCACAGGACATTAAAAAACACAATATGCGGAAATGTTTCAAAACAAAACAGGAGACATTTCTACTGTGTGTTGGGAGAAACAAACAAAAGAGAATGAGGTCACAGATTCGCTCTACTGTACACCAGAGTTTTTTCGAATGCGCCCTTTTTTGTTTTGTTATGCCCATTCCATTTTTTCCTAACATTTTGAATTTGCAATTCGAGTCACCCAGAGTGTCAGGTGCTTCAATGCTTAGCAAGCAACCTGAATCCTTTATAAATCGAGGAAATCACAAAGTCAAGTCGCATACAGAATAAAAACACTAGTATACAGTAAAAAGCATGCAGGCATGTTGGAATGCGAATGTACCAACAAAAAAGAAGCATAGCTTTACGGGAAACAAAAGATTCACCCTCAACAAGACCCTTGCATAAATAACAGACGATGGCATTAAACATTTAAATAAACAGGCTTTAAAAATAAAGGCAAAAAACTTTAAGAAATATGGTATTTAATGACAAGACCATTAAAAAATCTTTTTCTATGATGAACCGAAGTGTTAATCATGAAAAATAAATATCTCAAATTCACCGAATCAAAGCTTTTGTATTTACAATTATGAGAAACAAACAAAATGCTAAAAACAAGATGTGGAACTTTTTTTGTCTTAGGCTCCACCAGAACGAACCAGTAGAGAAAGGCACACTATGTTTTATGTTTTTGTCAGAGTTTTACGTCACTTACAATACAAATACATCAAATAATTGCCTAAGATTAGAGATGTAATAACTAGAAAGTACATACAAGAAATGAAGTAGGAGAGATAAGGACAATAAATGTTTAGAGCTTTGGAGCCCACATCGTCTGAACTAATGACTGCTTTTTAAAGACAGCTTTCAAATGACATTGATGATAAACTTACACAAACATTACAACTGCTAACAGCATAGTATTTGTATTATAAAAATTTTGGAGATAAATTTACAAGGAAATTTTCAGAAAAAACCCCATTCTTCACCACTCTACGATTGTCTCTAAGCACAAAAACAAGTGCAGTAGTACATGCTTTACGCTCTCATCCACACAATGCCTATCATTTATGAAGAGTCTGCTTTGACCCTAGGTGTCAGGTCAACCTAAGCTGACCGGGATACACCTTCCCAGCAGACAGATGAAATGCTTGATAAAAAAACAAACCCTCCCCATATAAGAATCAAACTCATGTCTTCTGCGAGTGACATAAAAGTGCTTAACTGCTACACCACTGACCCTGCTTTTTTTCTTCTTCTTTCTTCTAAGGATACCAACGAGAAGTCAAAATAAAACGTGTGTGGGATATCTCAGATCTTTGTGCCCCCTACATGTTTCTCCATTGTAGTTAAAGTTACGAGCCGGAGTTCTAGGCACAAGTTTTGCCCTGAGATGCAGGCTGAATTTTGAGATGTGAGTGAGTTTCAGTTCAACACCCACTAGTTGGCGCGCGAGGTGAGCGCCAAGCTTTGAAAGTGTTTCAAAATTCAATTACAATAATTAATTAAAAAAATATAAACTTCATCATCTTTAAAAAAATCTAATTCCATGTTCATCATAAAGCACATGTTGGGTATCAAAGGGAAGACCAGCTGCTGCTACACTAAGTTAACTGTTGCTAGGCAAGCTGTTATTGTCCCTTCTCTCCCTTCCTCCTCTTCTTGGCCTGTGATCGGCTGAACTGCCTGGTTGAGAACACTTTTATTTCTTTGCAGGAAGTTTTTAGGATTGGAACCGATTGGAAAGACACCTATTAATCACAATGGAAAAAAACAGATTTAGGATGAGAGTCCTTTGAGTTACGGGCTTCAGCTTGAGACAAATTACACTTGTTTTTCAAGGTATTATTGCATTAGTTAACTGTAAAGGTAATGAAAAGACAGCAACGGTGACTTCCCGTACACCTACCTCGTAGATGTTCTGTTTCATTGTGGTTTTGCTTGGCGTTTTGTTGAGAGGTGGCTAGAAGCACTGGGGGAGAAAAACAAAACAAAAACAACTCATGCCATGATGCATAACTTTACGGAATATACGGAGAGGAAAGAATTTCATGAAAAAAAAAAAAGACTTATTTTCATTCATCGGAAGGTGGGGAAAGCAATGGAAACTATGATCTATCACAAGTCTTGGGATGAAATGCAGTGACTTAAAACATCTGTTTAACATTCACTACCAACTATTTATAGTTTATAGTCAGCAGGGGTGGTGGTGGTGGTTGAGTTGTAACTCAGAGCTAATTAGCCAGAAAACTGTTCTATACTATTAAAAACCATACCAAGGTAATACAGGCAACTCTCAAAAGGAAGACAGAAGAGCAATCATCAGCACCTGACAGGGTTAAAGATGAGCACGAAAAAATAATCAAATTCTCTCACTCATCCGTAACATGTCTTTCACTTTCCACAAGCGGTATTATGGAGAGGAAAAAAAGTCTGACAAAAGAAAAATGAATGGAATATATTGGAGGGAGCTCACTTTTTGCTTCTTCCAGTTCCTTCTCTGTGGCTTTGTTCTTGGCTCGCTCATTCTCCAGTTGTTCTGAAAAGGAAAAACGTCTGCGTCAACATTCAGAGAACAAGATGCCGATCAACCTACGTGACTAAAGTGCAACCAGAGGATAGGAAGATGCAGCAAAGGGAGCGGTAACCTTACTTTCATCAAGTAAAACATCACAGGCTGAGATCCAGATGTGACCATGTCCACTTTGGCCTAAATGACAACCCCCCCCCCCCCAGCATAATGGAGGCTTTCAAACAATATTGCTCCATGCCTGTAAACAGCCACCCAATGGGCGAGGTATTTCAGCCTCAATCACAATGCCGCAAGTATATATTTCCAAGAGTTGTCTGTTATGCCTTGCCAATTTTTTCAAAACAAAGAATGTGGACATAGAGTCACCTCTAGCCCCCAGCGACGATACATATCTTCTCTTTTGGACCCAAGCTTACTCCAGGAATCCAAAGAAAACATATTAGGTTCTGTGTACATGGCATAGACTAGTATTACAATATCCTAGAGCGTGCACTCAGACACATTCCTGGTCCACTATGGAGTACACCGTTCCACTCAAGTTGAACCAAACAAAGGGCAAGGGAGGAAGGTGCCACCTGAAGTAGACAATAGTCAGACTTGTGTTTTGTCCTTCACTTGGATGTAACAGCACGGCTCATAGTGCGCTCGCTTCTCTGCAAAAGTTTTTACAAAGAGCGAAGAGTGGCGGCCATGACAGTGTGCTGGCCTGGGGTAAATCGCGACCCCAGTGCTTTCTGGTCGTATCTCCATTTTTAACAACAGTGAAAACAGTTCATAACAAAGAATGACCTTAAGAAGATGTCACATTTTCACGGAAAAAAATGGAGATACAACAAGAAAGCACTGACATCGCGACGTGTCTATGGTATGTGGATTTCACTGCACGCAATACTCCAGTAATGGTTTATACAACGCATTGAATGAGACCTTCGAAAATTTGTACCCAAAGAACAAAAAGCAAGCCAGTACCTGGGATTTGAATTTGACTCCCTTTCTTTCCCACACATTTTACATCATCCTAATCAACCCCTCTGTTCCACAGACAAAACGGTGTTAAACTAACTTTATATCTCAAACGTGACGAATGAAAAGAGATTTAAACTACTCAACTCCAACTGAACAGAAGGGAATTTAGCTGAAGGCTGACAGAATTTATTAACAAGAATCTCAGTCCCCCCCCCAAACCACAAAGTTGACAAACGCGAGCAAAGTTTGACCATAAACTTGCATTGAACTGAGTGACGTAAGCGTCATTTTGACAAGCATTCCTCATGACATATCCAAAAAGCTGTGAAAAAACTCGACGTTTGTTTTTAAAACTAGATCATCCTTTTCTATACTTATGAAGATACACCAAAGTGTCCAAAGGACGAACACAATCAGTATCTACCGCTCCAGAGCCCCACAAACAAACAAACAAACTACAGGCTTGATGGCAACAACAAAGTCAGAGTCTATAACTACTGGAAGACTTCAGGGGAAAATGGCACTTTTTTAGTTTAGTTTTAGTTAGATTTTTGCGGCATTTGCAACATAAACAGGTCTTATCGGTACCAATGAGTAGAGTTGTTACAAGAGAGTGACACTACACAAAGAAAGGAATGAAAGAAGAGGATGAGAAACATTTGATAAGGTAGAAGGAGCAAACCCTACCAGAGCACCTGTCAACCACCCAATGTTACAGGAGAGTGACACACAAAGAAAGGAGTGAAAGATGAGGATGAGAGAGATTTGATAGGAAAGAAGAACAAACCACACCAGAGCACCTGTCAACCACCCACAAAGACAGCATTAGACACGCACAAGAAAAACTATTGAGGACAACTGTTTTTCTTTGATATGTTCATATGGAGACTATTGTCTATACCATGTTCACTGTTTTAAAGATGTCACTAGTATGTAGCTATAGCCAGATATATGTTTCTGATAAAAATGGGATTGGTGGACAAAATGGAACAAGCCAAACAGTAAATAATAATAATAACAACAACAACAATAATAATAAATTTCACTTTAAAACCTCATTTTCATTAACAAAGTGCTCTATGCATTTAACAAATAAACAAAAACTATGAGCACCGTATGGTCAAATAGAGGTCCTTTCTCTCCATCTTGATCAAAACAAAGGCAACAGTTAAAAAGAGTGACTGATGCCATTTCCCCCAGCATTCTTCCATTGGAAGTAGACGTAGATGACAAAACTGTCCACAGAGCCACATTCCAGAAACATCTGCAGGCTTATGTATGACGCATGCATGCACGCACACACAGACAGACATATATACACAGGCACAGACACATACACACACACACACACACAACAATCAATTTCTCCATCACAACAAGCAGCTCCCACCTTCAGCACAAACATCTCTAGACTATATACAGGAGACATTAGTACAGAAGACAGAACAAGCAAAGGTGTACACTCAAAGCATTCCATGCAGCCAGGCCGACATCAATCAAAGCTCTGTACCGTCACCCACAACAAGCGAGTTAACTCGTGTCTATGTAACTGCCTGCCCTATAACATATTATTATGTCTGAGTCAGCAAAAATATCTCAAGACAAACAACACCACCAGAGCCAAAAGCATGGACAAGGGGATAAATCAAAGCAAATGACAGCAAATCAAGGGAGAGGAAAGCTAAATGTTATGCAGCGATTAACAGCCGGTCAAAACGATATACAATTGAAAAAGCTTGAGGAGCTGTTCCATGAAAAATGAACCTGTATTTACATGCTCAATAACTTGGGCATGATGACCCGCAGAAAAACAAAATTCTGGACAGAGTTCAAGTCCGTTTTTTTTGGGTGTGTTTTTGTTTGTATGTTAGAGGAAGATTACTTCTAACATAGACAATAAAAAAACGCTCTATCTTCTCTATCACGGCTCTGAAATATTTTTTGGAAGGTCATCAGCAGCTCTAAACGTGTGTCGCTGCAGGTTAATTTTTTCATGGAATAGCCCCAAGACGAAAAACCCAAAAGTAAAATAAAAAGTGATCAAAACATGTTCTGTTGATTCAAGTTTCTGATGACTCAGCATGATAGAGGCAGCACATAGCTAGGAATGCATTAATAGGCGTTGGAGTCCAGCCATACAACAACACTGATACGAAAGTTTTTTAGTTTTAGTAGAGTTTTTACTGCACTCGCAACTGCATGAAGTCATAAGAGCGCAGAGGGGTGGGTGTCAACAGAGAAGTCCAAACTGGGAATCAAGCTTTCTCTGCTCACCTCTCTAGCCTCAACAGCACAAAGTCTGCTTCGACTATCAACGCACCCAGGAAATAGCAGTTCACAAGAGGGTAACAAACATACAAAAGAAGTAGAGGAAAATTGATGATAATAAGGATGTGGAAAGAAAAAGCAGCAGTTCCCCTTATGTTGTTCTGGTACAGTATGAGCATGACACTGATAAATCAGCCCATTTACAATTCTACAGAGCATAAGAACATGTTAATATCACCCCTTTGGGAATGGCCTAAAGACACTGCAGTTGGTAGCACTGCCCCGGGGGGGCGGGGGGGGCGGCGCTGACACAGAGTGCGAGGAACAAGCCACACAAGTGAGGCCACAGGGAACACACTCAGCACAGTACACACACTTCCCAATAATCTTCCACAGAAACAAATATGCCAAACCCTACACACACTACTAGCATGCCATGCTCTCGTATAAGGATTCCCTAACTGGGGTGCAAGAACCCCTGATCAAATCTTATCTCGATCATACCTTATCTCCATCAAATCTTATCTGAGCTCTGGGCAACTATCTCTCCCACACCAAACAACAAGTCTGAACTTGAGCTGTGGTCTAGGCACTTTGCCAGGAACAGACTCCAACACTACACCATCACAACAAGTAAGAAAAACACAACAGCACTCACTAACCACCAACAAGTCCTTCTGACTTCCAGTGATCTGACAAGTCCCACTTTAAAATACGCACCAGCCACAACAACATACTACAGGACAGAAGAAGCTTTTGTAAACCTCCACCTAAATCTAAGTCAAAGCAGAACTAGACAAAAATCCCTTGTTAGGACACATCCTTTCATGCACTCTCATTATCAATTTAAAAAAATAATTTAAAAATAAATCTAAAAGAAAAAACATTAAAAGAAAAAACAACAACCGTTCGTTCATCATGACCCTCTGATGACCTTTAACACTCAAGGAGAAAAAGAAGCTAAAGATCTTAGTAGCAAGCACGATAAAGTGGGTTAAGTAAAGGAAATAACAGCAAGCAATTGTTGTAACGATCACAAAGGCCACAGCCTCAGTACTAGTGAGTCAGCGAGACATTCCCCAGAATATTTTAAGAAGCTGACGACAGCAATACATTCCCCAGATTATTCTAAGAAGCTGACGACAGCGACACCAAGCAGACGAACGACTCCATGAGGCAGTGAGATCACAGAGTACAGTCGAACCTGCTCTCTCTAACAAACCCCTGTCCAAGACAACCACTTGTATATATAACGATCACTTCCCCCCTTGTGCCCCTGTCCAAGACAACCTTAACATTATTATTGTTTATACAACTGTTCATTTATATTATGCATGTAACTGTAATATGGGGTGCCCAATATGGCTGGGATCGGTCGATCACCCGACTCGATCGCCTAAAAAACAAACGTGTTTCTTTTCAGTTTCAGGCAATCGAGTCGGGCGATCGGCCCGATCCAGCCGTAGTGGGCACCCCATATAAGCCTGCTTGTGTGTGCATGTTTGTGTGTGTGTGTGCATGCGCGCGCGTGTGAGTACGTGTGCGCATATGTGTATGTGTTTACGTGGTGAAAAAACAAACCAATGCGCCAGGATCAGGACAATAAAGATGTATCTTGTCTTATCTTAACCACTGGTATAACGACCACTTCACCCCTAGCGTTTTTTGTATTTAAAAAAAAATATAACGACAAAGTCCAAGACATCCCCCGGTCTAATATAGCCACTTTCTCCTCCACAACAAGTGGCTGTCTTGGACAAGTTCGACTGTACTTCTGGAAAAGACTAGCAACGCTCAAAAAGAGAAGACAATAAGACACCCCCGGAGTGGAGGGGAGGGGGAGGGAGGGGGGGGGGTGTGGGCTGGCTCACTCACGCTGAAGTTCCAACATGCGCTCCTGCGTGACGCGGGCATTTTCTTGCTCTTCAAGAAGCCGATCTGACAGTCAGACAGGCAAACAAATACATGCATCATGCACAACTCAAAAAAACGTTCATTTATTATCATCAAACACAGGCTCAAAGGAAAACGGCTTGGAAAAAATAGGGAGAAAGTCACACAACAGAACAGAGGGCTTTTTTAGCCTTATTAAAATGTCCTTCTTCCCACATAAAACAATTCACACAGGCAAAACAAAACAATTCACACAGGCAAAACAAAATCATTCACACAGGCAAAACAAAACAAGAACAGAAATGAAGACTTTTAGCTGGCAGAGAAACTTCCAAGGGGAGGAATTTGGTTAAAACAAAGTGGGAAAAAATAATTAAGCAAAAAAAGGCAATTCTTTTCTTTGGGTCAAATTCAAAAGCAAAATTTTGGGGGGGGGGGGGGGGGGGGGGGGATATAGAATCATACAGAGTCATGGTGCATAAGAAAACCAAACAAAAACAAAACCCAACAAGACAGCCATAAGCAGAAAGTGTAGCTGAAAACTCAAGGTGCGGGAGCTTGATGAATGAATGGTTGGAAGATGAGCGGGTCTGAAAACATTCGGGCATATCTGTGGGGGTGACGTGAAAGAAAAGCCAGAGAAGATGAAGGGGAAAAAAACCCAACTACAAATGTCCACTTTTCTTCTCTCTTAAAACAGAAAACATTGAAATTTTGTCTCTGAAGACTTCTGTGTTTGCTGTCTGTGGCTGAAACAGCACCTGGACATGGATGGCTGGTGCCTCTATAAATAAATTATTGATGGTCAAGACTTCTTTTAGTGAACAGCATTTCTATAGCGCTCTATCCTGTTAGGAAGCAAGCTCTGAGCACTGTGTACAGCCATGGCAGAAAGTTCAGACACAAAATATACATCTGCTGAAGTGAAAAAAAATCCCCAGACAGTATTCAAAATTACTCACTCACACAAAGTTTAAAAGTTTTACTTAAATCAACACGGCTTTGCTTGATTGAGTAATTTTGAGAAACAAAGACAAAATTTTAATTTCCGTCGTTTTATAATAATAAAAAAGTGGACCTTTGTGATGTTCCCTTCAGTCTTCTCGTGGTTGTCCCCATCCCCCGCCCTATGACCTTGACACTTACCTCGCAGGTCAAGTATCTGCTGCTTCACATCCTGAGTGAACGACTCCGCCTTCTGGACCTGATCTGTTAAATACAACAAGGAAGAAACGATGAAACAAAATAACAAGCATTCTGAATTTGTACTGGAGATTTTGATTCTACATAGGAAATGGGAAAGCTATGAGGTGTCCAATATGATGCATAACAAAAATATACTTGAATATCTTGCTAAGTTCACCTATATACTTATATTTGAGAACAGAACTGAAAAATACTCTTCAAAACTGATCAAACAGACAGCAGTTTAGTTTTTCACAATTCTTATGTTTAAGACACATTCAATATTACACTGTCATCAAAAGCAGTGACTGACAGATTATGACTCAGTAAATTTTCTCCCTACAGTTCCAGAGTTGGCGTAAACATGAAACATTTTGCCCACATGTGTAAGGGAGGCTTCCAGAAAACTACTGACTTAAGCTATAGTTCACATTTATAGGGATAACATTTTTTTAAAAGAGAAAATATTAAGTAAATTTTCAAGTCCGTAAAATATAATAGCTCAGTGAATGTCTTCATTTCCTCTAAATTCTAATAACTGATCAAATCATTCAAAACGGGCAGATGCATCAATACGCTTCCGCCTTAATAATTAGAATAATAAATAGCATTTGTATTGTGCAGAATCCTCCTCAACAACCAGCTCTATGCTCTTAACAAGCTATATTCTGACCTAAGAACACCTAGAAGCATTCCTTGGAATTATAATTTAGGACCCTATCTTATGTTTGAATCTGAACTAAAACAATCTGGAGGGAAACTAGTAAAAAAAACATTTGAAATAAAAGCAATCATTAACACAAATGCAAACACATGAAATGCAAAGGGAAAGAGGAAAAGCCAAAAGAATACTCTGCATGCTAAGGGAACACACATGAAAAAAGGACAACACAGTTTCATAGAGAGGAAATGGGAAACGATTTTTAAAAAACCCCCACCAGGGAGGAAGAGAAGCACAGAAGTGTACGGGTATCTACAAGGGAAAAGTGTATAAATAAACGCTGCCAACATTGTGGGTGGAAGTCGACACAAAGCGAGCACAATAACCTTTAGACTTTTCTGTAACTGTATAGGCAATTGTAAAGGTTTCACACCCCTTTCAACATTGTAAGGTCATTTAAGAGGTGGGATCTTTGTTTGAGAGGGGGTAAAGTTTCTTTTCCACATGCATGATATTAAGAAAGGGGAGGGTTGGGGGGGGGGGGGGGGGGGCATAGTTCATTTTCCACAGACATGATATAAAGAGAGAGGTGGGGAGGGGGAAGGGGGTGCGCAAAGTTTATTTTCCACAGGCATCATATTAAGAAATGGAAGATTTGGGGGGCGCCGACAATAGGAGACAAGTACATGTGGTGCGCGACTGACCCTTGAGGTCGGTGACCAGCTCCATCTTCTCCTGCGCCTGCTGCTGGGCTTGGAGGAGCTGTATCCGCAGTGATGTCACTTCCTCCGACGTCCTCCGCAGCTGGGTCACCGATTGGCTCGCCTCATCTGGACAGACACACAGGGGGACATGAGCCACAATCTGGGTGGTCGGCCTGTCGTGCTCGCCTCTAGGCTGCTCCTTCTTTACTTTCCTACCACACTTCTAACCTCCTTCTTTCTTTCTTATCACACGTCTAACCTCCTTCTTTCTTTCTTATCACACGTCTAACCTCCTTCTTTCTTCCCTATCACACGTCTAACCTCCTCTTTACTTTCCTATCAAACATCTAACCTTCTTTTCTCTGTATGTTGCTCTCAAGTCAAACCCACTAATCTTCGGCACTTATGTCACCGATTTGTGTTGCAAGTGCTGTAAAACTCTTATTAATAAAACTAAAATAAAAGTCATAGTGCTCATGGTGCAGGGAACCATTTTTCCTGTTCTTCGTTTGTTCAAAAACTTTTTCCATTTGACAAACAGTATTCCAGAAGGTGGGGGCTGTACTTGTAATTGTAGATATTCTACATCCCCACGGACAATCTGGATCATTAAGGTGGCTGGCTACGTCGACCCTGCCTGTACGTGCCAACCTCAGCTGGGAGGAATGCACTGTCCGCTGTCCCAGCAGATTTTTACAAAGTTCTCGATGATAAAGAACTTCCCTACACAGGAATCAAACTCACATCTTCTGCACGTGCCGACAAAGTGCCTGTTCTCTACACCACAGAAGCAAGTAACAAGGGGTTGTATTGGACAAAAGGGAGGCAAGCATTTAAAAAATCTTTACATCCAACACAGATTCGTAGAAAGCAGTTGTTGCATCGTTTACAGCAAAAGAGTAACATTTTGCTACAAAAGTTTCGGAAAATAAAACATCTGAAAAGAAGTGGGGAGAAATGATATACACAGACTACATCAAAGTACTTGATAATCACCTGCTTTAGTACTACTAAACCAGCTGTATGGTCCAAAATAGACTACCTATACAAATGACGACTTCACACCATGTGGTTTTTCTATATCATCATACTGACACTGTCCAAGAGGGTCACCTGTCTAAGAAGACCAGATTTTTCCTTGACAGTGGGGAGTCATCTTGGTCAAGTTCAACTACATGTATTTTTAACTGTCAGTCGCACTTCTGCCACAGCAACTGCTTACCAACTCACTTACAGCTCAGCAAAATATCAAAAGCTCTTTCAACAATCTTTTCTCTCGGCTGAGGTAAAGGCACCAAGAAGCCATGACATTGAGCAGTTCAGTGAATATCTCCGGAAAAAAAGGAGGATTTAATTTCACAGAAACTGTTTTCAGTTTGACATGCATAAGTAGTAGATGAGGAAAAAATAAGTTCGAAGTTAAAACAATCAATACATAGAAACTATAGCAGATGAAAAGCTGTGATACAATAGTTGCTAATAAAGGACGCACAGCAAAGATTTATGATTCAAAATAACAAGTGAGACTTGTATCACCTCTGTTCCACTGTTGTTTGTCCACAAAGCAATACTTTTACAAAACTCTCCCTGCCCTTTCTATTTTTTCTTGCTTTAAAAAATTTTCCAACATTAAAAGTTAAAATTTCAACCAAATATTCCGCGAGTATATGCAACCAAAACCACAGATTAAGAAACTAATGGAATTTTTTTTTTTTAATTTGGCTTTAGTATATCTGAGGTTTTGGCCACCGAAATTGGTCTCATCAAAAACACCAGAGAAATAAGTGTGTAAACAATGCAGACGCTCCTCAAGCAACAAAATGCTACACAGGGCAAACAAAGGCATGAAAACAGCTTCAGCCAAGAAAACAAGAGATTGAGGGATAAAGAGAAACGGATAAAGAACAAAGAAGTAACTGAAAAGATGGGGAGAAAATATAATGTGGTTGATAAATGGACAGAGCCAGATGACGACCTGCACGAGTGAGAACAAGGAAAAGTCCCCCCCCGACCCCCTTCCAAATTTTGTCATACTTCAGGACAACATTTTGAAACACAGACTTAGGAAGGAAACCATCACTGATAATACAGACAAGCAATCCCTATTATATTATATTACACTTCACCAAACACAATACTTTGTATTCTTCATGGTTTTAGAACTAGGAATATAATAACTCGTATATATGTGGACTTGGGGGGAACATAGCAAACCAAGAAGTAAATTTCTACCGGCCCAACAAAACTAGAACAAGGGGAGGAAAGTATCTAAAGAAAAGCACTCCACCCCACACACACACACAAACCCCTCCATGGCTTTCCCAAGACAACTTCTCCAGCAAAATGGCAGGATGCAATTTTTTAAATGTGTAAATTAATTGGGAAGCATGTTCTTCCATTTTGAAGCAGAAATTAAAATATTTTAAATATGGTGTCTTTTGCCATCTAATCAACGACTTCCCTTCTACACATTGTCATTAGTGGACTGTTCTCACAACAGATCATCAGGCTTGAAACTTGAGAGGATATTGGACAGAGCAAGCACAGTCAAGCAAACAATGAGGTGGAAAGAAAGGGGGTGGGAGGAGAAAAATTTTCACATACAAATCTCCCACAGCTGGGTCTACAGGGTGAGCCAGATGATAAAAAGGGGAATACAGCATTTCCAAAGAGGTGGGAAAAACCCCGGACAACATACCTTTGTATTTCCTGAGTTCAATTTCTGCCTTTTTCTGGGCTTGACGAGCTTCTTCTAGCAGTGCTGGGGGAAAAAAAATTATTTTACCACATTATGACAAAAATCAATAACAATAGCTCCACCATCAATGTCTGATGATGACCAATGCATCCAAAGAGGAGGACATTTCTAAAGTGAAGAATAGAGGAATTGAAGCTTAACATGACTTTTATTATTTCATACTTATTAGCTGTAAAAACTTCACCTATGAGCGTGACATATCTATTTTCATAAGGCTTCAATCCGAGAAGTAACTCATTTTGTCAGCACATTTCACATATCATGGTTCTCAACTCAGAATTTTAAAAAAAGGAGGAACTTTTCGTGTGATCGCAACAGAAGACCATTTTTGCTAGACACCCATTATTATTATACTGTTTGAGCCTAGAACGCAGAAATAAAAACCACCAATTTATCAAAGCAAGGTTATTTCAAACCAGTTTTGAGGGGTCTAGACGATAATTTCAAGTAAAAGAGGTAGCGGTAGCGGGGTTTAGCGGAGGAAATGGCAGTGGTGGAAATCCGCTAAGTAGCACAAATCCGCGAAACAGCTCAACATTGAGACCCATGACATATACGGTAGATGAAAACTGAACGTGCCGGAGGAAATAGCATAAATAAAATTGAGACCCATGACATATACAGTAGAGGAAAACTGAACGTGCCGGAGGAAATAGCATAAATCCGCTAAATAGCGGAAAATTGAGACCCATGACATATACAGTAGATGAAAGCAGAACGTGCGGGAGTAGACTGCTCACCTTTCAGAGCCTCGTCCTCGTCCAGGTCGGGCAAGGTCCGGTCGGAGGCACTGGCCAGCACGGTGGTGTCGGCGTCCTGCTCTCTGCCACCGGTCAGCACGCCCGAGTCCCCACAGCTCCCGTTGACCACTGTGTCCGAGAGCAGGTCGGGCGGGCTGGACACCAGGGTGGTGGGGCTGGGGGAGGAGGTGCTGCCTCGCGCCGTGCTGCCGGGGGGAGGCGGGGAGGTAGAGGAGGAGGAGGAGGCGGGGGAGGAGGAGGAGGAGGAGAGGGTGGAGTGTAGGGGGCGCTCTTGGCTGTCGTTGTTGTCCAGGCTCTCGGTGGAGTTCTCCACAGAGTTGACCGGCGTCTGCAGCGTCAGTTCCTTCTCTATCAGATGGATGTGATCTGTGGAGGTGGGAGGGGGGAAAGAGTTTTTGCAAAGTTTAATTAAGTTTTACAGCACTTGCAACACATCATCATCATCTTTCTCCCCCTGCACCAGAACAAACACTTTCCACCTTTCTCTATCCTGGGCTAGCCTCTTGATATCATTCCATGTCTTCCCACTTTTCCCTTGAAACACATTTTGGTTATACAAGTGCCGAACATTAGAGGTGTTACTACAGAATAACATACATAGAAAAATAAACATAGGGACAATGGACGTTCAATTGAAAAAATATTTGTTTTAATGCAGGTGTTTCTGCGCCCTAATCAACAATGTTTCGATCATTTAGGAGGTGGGCTTCTTTTATAGTTATAGAAAAAAAAGGAGAAAAGGTTTGGCAGTCCCAGAAAAGTTTCACACAAGAAAACCCCCCCTAGAACATTTCCATGATAACTTTTCAAGCCAATCTGTAGCACACCACGACCGATCCTCTAGCATTGTGAGTTACAGAGCTGTCAACTGGCTCTCTGGCTAATACAAAAATATCCTGAACTTTACAGACCCCGTGGAAACTTGAGCTTGGGGTATGTAAAATTGACAGATGACATTGTACTGATACATCTTTTATCAAGAGTATTTTTACATAGACAGCTTCAAGTCTGGCAAAATGCGGACAATTTCAGAAGCCTGGATTTCAGATTTATCCGGCAATCAGCACCTCTAGTGTTCAAGAAGTTCCATAGTGTCTAGACCAAGTGTTCTCCTCACCTTTCATGGCTTCTATCAAGTCATTGCTGCTATTGCTTTGTTTCGCCGATTCCTTCAGTTGCACTGAAACAAATACAGATAGAACAATCAACTACAGACCACAAACAACATTTTACAAGTTAAACTTTTGTAAGTAAACAAAAACGAAATGCAAACAGAGCAAAAATTGGAACCAGTTGTTCTTTCAAGATAAAGACCCAGTCTCTGCAAAGAATGGAGCTCCAATATTATGTTAAAATAAAAAAATATTTTAAAAATCAAAAAGGAACACGAGCAACAGGCTGAAATACCCATAGTTCTAAGTAAAATGTTTTCACTGCCTTGAATTATTCCAAGCTTTCCTATAGGAGTAAAAAGAAAAAGAATTCCCTTCCAACAAATTACTGATGCAGTATATAGTCTGTCCGATTAAAAAAACAACAAACCCTTGCATAGCTTGAAAAAGGAGTAAAACTCATTTAAACAATGGAGACAAGTGTTCAAATATCTGTGTTTCAATGTGTATGTATGTTCATCCATATAAAATCTTGCATACCTTGTCCTTTAATACCATTTTTATAAAAACATTTTTGCAAAATTACAAAAGTCTAAAGATATTCCTCAGTGAATATTCAAAATAGTCACACATGAAAAAGGCGCCAGTAGTCAATAAGCATATATATGAGAAAGGACAGCTGTCCACAATATTTTTCATGTGACTAAAGCTGGTTTCTCCCCTGGGGTCTCCATATGTGGGGCATTGTGGTAAAAATCAGGCGCTCTTCAAAATAATGATATCACAGACATCAACATTTTTCCGCCCACTGAGAAATTTTCATCGAATTTGTTCTTTTGGGCTCAACATCTTTTATGTCCATTAAAGAATACAATTCTGTATGGATTTTAAGGAAAAATGTTGATCATAGTCACAAAAAATGTAAATTTCCAGTTTCCAAGGACACAGCTTCTGAATTCATCAAAGTTTGACAGCCATTTGCTTGCTTATTTCACCTCTGACATCAGGTCACCCCCACCTCCTTCAATTGTAAGTATCTCTGCTTCTTTTCAGGATAGATAGGCCTAGATGTTTTGGGTTTTTTTTTCTCAATCAAAACCAAGACAAATGAACAGGCTTTAGGACTACACTAACCAATAACTCCATTTGCCCAAAAACAGACAAGTATCTGATTCCATCATGTCTTGACACAGATCATTTAGTGCTGAAGCACTTAGCAAAAAGAACACTAGTTCTTCACGAAAATGTTCATAAGAATGGAAACAAAGAGGAGTATAAGACCAAGGATAGGAATGTCAGGTGAGAAAAACTGGCATTTTGATATTCAAATATGAAAAAAACTGACAGCTAAACTACGTGCACTGTTTAGGAAAGTACGTTGTGACATGAGGGGCTACATTTTTCAAGAAAAAGAAACAAAGAGAGGGTGAGGCTGAAAACAAAACACCCCATCCCCCCCCCCACCCCCAAA